TCCACTATCCCCATGCAATGTCTAACTCAAAGTGGATTTTAGGTTTGAACGTTAAACCTAAAACTATAAAGCTTCTAGAAGAAAGCAAAGTCTCTGTGGCCTTGTATCTGGCTGAGCTTTCCAGAGCTCCTCAAAGTGTAAACACTGGCTCTGTGACAGAACTGTCAGGAACTGAAAAGCCACAGGCAGAGAAAACGTCTGCAGGGACATTCCATGTTTCATACGTGTTCAGTATGCAAAGAAACATCACGCTCGACAGAAGGGGACGGGCATGCTCTGCTCCACCTGGTTTATAGCCGGTTCCTGGCCCTCTCCCTGCCCGAGGCATGGGCGGGGAGAGGGCCCGGCGGAGACCCAGGCCAGCCGCGCGCTCGGCTTGGCCGGAGGATGACCGCGTGCTTCAGGCGTGTCCCCGCCTTGCTGTGCCGTGCTCATTGCCCGCTAACGGGTGGGAGCTGTCCCACCTCTGCCGTTCCACCCCGGTGAGCAAAGGTGAGACCTGTGGACGGGGGAATTGCAGCCACAGGCGCCCCTACCCCTCGCCGCTGCTCACCTGTCATTCAGAAGGTTGTCCTCAAAAACCTGTAGAAGGGTCTTGCCGAAGCTTTCCAGGGCCTGGGGGTCCCTCTGGATCCCCTTCATGTATGCGAAGAGGCTCTGTGTGGAATGCCTGACCTGCGAAGCGGAGACGCCGTCAGTGCGGCCGCCCCTCGCCGCCCCCACGCTGGCTGCCGTTGCTCTGCTCCCACGTCTGCTAAAGAGCTGAGACGACTTCGAACTACAGACGCGCAGCATCTCGCAAACGCACGGCCAGCGCCGAGCTTGCCTGGGGACAGCACGACCTGACCTCTTGCACTGTCACGAACTTGCCAGCCGCAGCGACTGCTGCAGGGTTGCCAGGGTGACGAGGTGCGGAGAGACCCTCCCCACCGGCACAGGGAGCCGCGCCTGGTGTCCCGCAGGCTCAGGCACATCTACAACTTGAAGGAGCCGGGGCGGCGCGTGCGGGTCAGACACAGGCCCTGGAGGACTGAACCCTGGGGGCAGACGGGGCACCCCAAGCGCCCAGCCCCAGCAGGGCACGACCGTCGCTCCGACCAGACGGAAAACCGAGAGCTCACAGGCCGGCTCGGTGCAGCCGTGACACCGTGGAGCAGACGGGGAGGCGAAGAGGAGCAGGGAGGGCCGTGGGGACCGGCCTGGAGCCGGCGGCCAGTTCGCAGGAGCGCGGTGTGGGGAGACACGGCACCAGCCCAGTCCCGAAGGCGGAAACACACAGGACAAAACACAAAGGGCACGAGCAGCAGCTGGGGGTAGGCAGGGCCGCGAAACGCCAGCGTCTGGGCACGCCGACCCCATGCAGCACGGGGACCTCTGGTCCCGACCCGGGCGCATTTGAGACGCTGAGGAAATTCGCGTGTGGAACGAGCGTCGTGGTCGAGACGTATGGGAAGTGTCCTCAGGGGGTAAGTCATACGGTTTCTGGAATCCCAGCTGTGTGGGTGTCGTGCGCTGAGACAGGCCCCGACGCCCCTTGCTGGGCACACGCAGTCCATGGCCACGTGCTCTGTGTCCGTGTGCAAGTGTCAAAACTTCCCACAGAAAAAGTTCAAGAAAAATTAACTGCTCCCTGTACAGGAGGAAGGATCGGCTGTGATACCGAAACTTCGAACGTTTTAAACACACACACAAACGCAGCTCGGACTTGTGTGTTGTGCGGCAGGGCCCCAGAGGCAGAGCTGCCACAGCGGGGGCCCCGGGGCAGAGGCCCCCAAGCTAATTCGACCTTCATCAGACCCGACCACGCCACAGGCCACTCAGCCTCCTGGGTCACGGGTGCAGCTGGACCCTCGACCCCAAACCAGACATCCTCCAAGGAAGAGGAGGGAGGCTCAGCCCCGCGAGAGCTCCAGGGGGCGGGGGGCGGGGGGAGGCTGTGCCCGGACGCGCAGAGGCTTCCTCACCGTCGACTCCGTCAAGCCGCCCACGGACACAACCAGCCCCAGCAGGACGTGGTAGCGGTAGGCGGGCAGCCCCAGGAGCTGGGTGACCCGAGGGAAGGCCTGAGACGGAGCATTCCAGTTCACAGAGGCCACGTCCGACCTGCGAGAGAGGAAGTTGAGCGAGGCCGGGCTCCCTGCGCTCTGCCCATGGCCGAGGGGCCAGGCGTGGGGGAGGCCCGCGCTGGGACCTACCTGGGGAAAATCTTCTCCAGCTCTCCTCGGTGGGGCACGTGGGGGGTGGGAGGGTCACAGTGCAGCAGCGTCAGGAACACGCCAGCCGCGTGAGCGCGGAACCGGTCGATCTTCTCGCTGGCCTGCTGGGCCACGCGGCACATGACCTGCTCACAGCTGCAAACCAGGAGCGCGTGGTCTGAGCTGATAGCCGGCCCGAACCCCACGAGGGCACGCGGGCTCCTCCGCACTGTCAGCCTGGCGCCGCCACGACCTCAGGACAACACACGGGCAGGCCCAAGAGGACCACACCTATGTACGTTCCGGAAGCCAGACAGCAGGCGCACGACAGTGTTAAACACGCTGACGGGGTCTGCGGCGGAGGCAGGGACAGCAAATGGGGTTCTGGGCGGCAGGGGGCAGAGGGGCTGGGGAATGACACAGGCAGGGAAAGTGGTGGGGGAGATGGAGCACTGAGGAAATGAGGCCGCGATCTCCACAGACCAAGTGTCCCCGGACAGCAGGGCCACGGAGACCCACAGCAAGGGCGGCACCCAGCGGCAGCCCTGGGGCCAGGGAACCAACCACGTGACGGCTCGGCCTGGCCTGGCAGGAGCACAGCCCTCATGCCGAGAAGCCACCTGCCCAGCCTTGCCGGTCACCACAGGAGGCCAGCAGGGCCAGCGCGGACTGGGCAAAGGGGCCTGAGGGGCTCGTCTGGGGAGGGGGCGCGGCCGTGGAGCCCCCGCCGGCCCCCCCTCACGGGGTGGAGAGCAGAGCCGCGCTGACACTCACATGTGGGCCTCGACGAGTTCAGGCTGGCTCCGCCCCAGCAGAAGCGTGAGGTCCATCAGACCAGTCATCGCGGCCTCCCGGACCCTGCGGGAGGGAGAAACCAGGGGAGATGGGGATTCCGCCAGCCACGACGGCCAGGCCACGCGAGCACAGTGCCACGACTGACCCACACAGAGCCCCCCGGGGCTGTCCACTGCCAGGGAGAAAAGGCACGAGGACCTCCTGAGGTCCCCTGTGCGCTGTGAGAACGCAGGCGGGGAGACAGCGGCCACACTCGGGCCAGGCGCCAAGGCGTCCTGAACACAGGGTGCATTTCAGAGATTACTTAAATCCCACTTCAGCGGGAACATGAAGGAATGTGTTCTCCCGCGTGTTACGCTGAACAAGGAGGACTCGTGTTTAACATCTGAAGACGGATTGGACAGGCCCCAGCAAAACCCTGACACAAATGTACACAGAACAGAACGGGCAATTTTCCCACAAAACCCTGAAATGCAAAACACACTCTACAAAGATTGCTCCCTGCAGGAAAACTCTGGGCTTTCTGGTTTTCGCTGCATCAACAAGACTCACGTGCAACGGCTGGCGTCCCCTGCTTACCAGGCCCCCACATCCCCTCGGCTGTCGGTGGTGTAGTCACCCATGCAGCCCAGCAGCGCCCCGTAGACCTGGGACACGTTTTCTCTGCACACAGCTTCGTCCGGAGCTCCGGCTTTCACACCGACAGTCTGGCAAATCCTTGGGTTTAGAACGTGTGAGGTAAGTAACAAGCCCTTGATGTGACAATGGCCTGTAGTGCTTTTCCTGAGAGGACACACTCAGAGCAGACCCGGGACCTCCAGACTAGACTCGGAAATCCAGAGCTCCTTCCGTGGACGTGGACGGCACTTCTCTGAAGCCACTTTCTGCCACCTCTGTGTTTAAAAGGGGGACGGGAGGCCCTTTGTGGCTGGTCCCTCTTGCCTTCCCCCGACAAGGGGGCCGACGCAGAGACAGAGGCTGCGCCTGGCCCCGGGTGCTCAGAGCTCGCCCCACATGCAGGCTGACGGGGTTGTCCCCCCCCTGCCAACCTCGAAGGGTCCCCTGTTGACAGAGTAAAGTCATGGCGCTACGGGTCTAACACTCATTACAGTCGCAACAGCAGGGAACGGTTAAGGAGCCTCCAAGGGCTGGAAATGACGCTCCTCTGAAAGGAGAATTAACTAGAAAATAAAAAATAACGGAATCTGCCTCTGAGCAGATCAATCACCTGCCCGTGACCAGCTCCTGATCAAGCCCGAGAACCTCCCGTCAACCCGCGGTGGCTGGCTTTTTAGTCTCGACCTTCAGGAGGAGCCGTGGCAACTCACCTCGCGATGGCCTTCAAGGCATCTCTCCTGGACTCGGCAAAGCTCACGTCCTCGGGAGAGGTGAGGGTAACGGCTCTCAGACCTGCTAGAACCTGAAAAGCAATACAGATTCAGCAACAGAACGTCACAGCCGTAAGATAAACGTGCTTTTCGTGCAGCGGACCAGAGAACACGGCCCTCAGGGGGGCGGCATCCGGGAAGCTCACCGGTGCCACCTTCCTTGCGGGGCTACACGCCCTGCGTGGCTGGGAAGGACGCACGGGGAGGGGCACCTCCCGCCCCCTCCACTGTGGGCCTGACCCTGGGGGATGACTGGATCCTGCCTGAGCCGGACAGAGACAGACGAAGCTTCACCTGTCGCTGTAGCAACAGCTCGATCTCAAGAACTGTTTCACGGCGACCCGTGTAGCAACTGGACAAACCCAGTGTGAGCGTTTCAGACAGTGCGGCAGCTGCAGGGGGTCCGCCCCGGCCCGCTGGTAGAGAGCACCTCGGGTGCTCCCTGCTCCCTTCTCGGCTGGTTTTCATGAATTCCTTCCCCACCACACACGCGACATGGATTCTTTCAGCCCTTGCCCCTCAGCCCACGCCCCTGCGTGCTCGGGCCCACCTGCTGGAATCTGCCCTTCAGGAGGAAGCCGGGGAGGGCGCCCAGGGCCGAAGAGAAGCCGCAGCGAGTCATCTCCTCGGGGCTCTGCAGCTCGGCGAGATACTGGCCGATCAGCCCCTCTGGAAGGAGGACTGAGCGTGAGCGGAGGGCCCTGCTGCCCGCCACACGCGACACACACGCAAAGACGCGTCCCACACGGAAGGGAGGAGCCACTTCAGGCTTCTACAGCAGATACAGTTCCCAAGTGGTATGTATCGAAACAAATATAGAAAAAGAATTTTTATAAGGTGGTTTTAAGGTTTTCCATAAGCAATTTTAACTACATGGTTTCACTCCTAGGAAAATAAATTCAGGAGGGTGATGAGATCGTAGATACATTCGTAATTCTCATTTTTATTTAGGAAGAACATAAATGCTTATTATGGAAATAATGTCTTCCTCATAAATGAGTATTTTCATCAGAGACTGAGAGCAGGCCGGGTTTCCTGCCAGACGCTCAGGGCTGGGGACGTGAGCACAGCCGGGCGGTGGAGAGCGGGAGCCGCACACACGGCAGCTCCCTGGGGACAAGCAAGGCGACAGCGCCAGGAAGGGAGAAGTGGGGACCCGGGGGCACCGAAGGTTCAGGGCAGGATCAGGTGGATAGCGGCCTGCCGTGACAAACAGCCCCGGACGCCTCCCCAGGCCCAGGTTCCCGTCACTGCTGTTTCCGCCCCAGCACAGCAGGTGTGTGCCAGGTGCAGGTGGGAGCCCAGCGTGCTCCTCCCACCCTAGGGTGTTAGGACAGAAGAACACAGTCCCCCACATCTTCACAATCAGAGGGTAACTTCAGAACACCGTTTCTGTTTATATTCGGATAACACAACGTGGAACTCTCTTCTTAGGCAAAAAGTAAAACACCTTATTATTCCAGTTTTTAAAAAGGGGTTAAATAGAAAATAACGTTACCATCTCATTACACGAAATTGCCTGTGGTAAAGGGATATAAAACATCACTAATTTAGAAAGTCTGTCAGGAAATCAAAGTACAGAGCATTTTCTTAATTTTATGAAATCACAGAAAGTAGATGAGACTATCACACGCATAATTTTATATAATAATTTGAAATAGTGTTTCGTGTACTTTTGATGTGATTATAATGCGTGTCCTAAAATATGGAATGCTATCGCCCAACAAAACACGTGAATATCTTTTCTGATATAAACATTAGTGCTCAAATCTAACGGTACATCACACAGCACAAGCTGTATCGCGTCATGTGCCAGAAACCAGCCCCAACACCAGCACAGAGTTGGTTCAGAACCTGGGTGGCTCAGGGACGTGCACAGAGGCAGCACTGCCCCACGGCTGCATGGCAGCAGATCCACCTGGCGCCATTTTGTAAAGGGGAAAGAAGAGCAAAACGTGTGAACGAGGGAAGGACGCACACCAGAGAAGTGCCGGCAGTGCGTGTGAGTTCCGACGATAGCCGCAACCCTGCCCCACGGGGATCGACGCAGCCGTCACATACGTGGGCCCCAGGGCACAGCAGGACAGCGACACACACGACTCAGGGACGCACAGGACTCAGGGACGCACACGGGGAAGCGGCGTCGCGAGGGTGAAAACAAAGGCTCCAGGAGCAAGACACACAGGAAATGTGGCAAGTGAACAAAACGGATGGGAGCAGAGAGGCGCACGGAGCTGGAAAGGAGACACACAGGAGATGGGAAGGAGCTTTGACAAACGCACACCTGGAATTCCCAAAGAACAAAATTGGAAAAAGCTTAAAATGGTAACGCAAGAAAACAGAGCTGAGCTGGGCGCAGCGGCTCACGCCTGTAGTCACAGCACTTTGGGAGGCCGAGGCGGGAGGATTACTCGAGCCCAGGAGTTGGAGGCTGCAGTGAGCTGTGATGACGCCACTGCACTCCAGCCTGGGCGACAGAGCGAGACTCTGTCTCAGAAAGAAGGAAGGAAAGGAAGGAAGGAAGGAAGGAAACAGCTGGAACAAGTAAGAGCTGACTGTATGGGGACTGGCAGCACCGCAGCTGGAACAAGTAAGAGCTGACTCTGTATGGGGACTGGCAGCACCGCGCCCCAGGGCCAGCTGCCGGGGTAGAGTCCCTGATGAGACGTCCCGGGGAAGCTACCTGTTCAGAGATGAAGGAAACCCTTGGGCAGCTGGGACGACTGACAGACTGGTGAACACAGCGTCAGAACGAACCTGTCTGCTCCGCGAGGAAATAGACGAGTGTTCCCGCATGCCCTGGGTCCCCTCTGCCTCCACTGCCCGCTGAGGCTCCCCTCTCAAATCCCGCCTGGCAGCAGCTTCCTGCCAGACCCCACACCACTCACCCTGAACTGCGGGATCCGCCTCCCCGGTCTCCTTCACGTAGTACTCGCTGCAGAGCGCGGCCAGGGCCGAGACAGCCGCGTCCTGAAACAAAGGCAGGGCTGTGAGTGCACAAAGGCTCTGCTGGGCTGGGCCGCGGAAGCGACAGATCGTTCTCGAGTCCAGGATGGTGGTTAGGGTTACTGTGTCCTCCCTTTGCAGCATGTCCGCTCTCGTTGACTGGCAGTGCGCTCACGCTTACCACTTCAGTGATTCTCTGCGACTATCACAACAAACTGAACAGAGAAACTGACTGTTCCCTCCATGTCCGGAGGGCGGATGGCCGGGGGACACACTCACGCCGGCCCGTGGGGACCGGCACGGCAGTGCTCAGGCAGAGTCTGGTGCGGCTTTCTCACCCGCGCCTGAGCATCACACACGCGGTTTCCAAACCTCAAATCCCACAACTCAACAGGACGCAGAATTCGGCTGTGCAAATACTTACTATCAACGTATAGGAAAAAGTTAATAAAGTCATAAATAGCAATAGAAAGTTAAACATTCTGATTACCAATGGCTCCATTAGGTTTCCTGATTACAAATCGCACAGGCGGCATCATCTAGAATTCCAAGTAAAATTACGGCATTCACCCACCACGCTAGTGCTTGAGAGGAGCCCCTAACGCACAGCTGGCCGACGCAAACGTGAATAAATAACTAAGGTCGCTTTTCTGCACCGCAGCACGGCAACAGTCTTGTCACCGCACCTTGAGCTGCTGTCTGGCGTGACTTGAAATGAGATGGAGACTTCGCAAAGTGTCGTTTATCAGCCACTGCCAACCATCTGTCAAAGAAACAGTTAATTTTCCCAATTAAGAATATTTAGTTGAAATTAAACCACCACCACATTTTCTACTAACTCTCAAAGTCAAAGCAGACGGTCACCTCAGAGAGGAGTCCGGAAAGAGCCGACGTGCGTGCTCTCCAGGTTGCGCACGCCCCAAGGCCCCTCGGCGTGAGGGAAGAGGCCTCTGGCTGCTGAATCCCTAAGCCCTCCCTGTGGGAGATGCCTGCGTTCTGTAAGCCTGATGATTCAAACGTCACGTCTTGGGAGATTTCTGTTCCTTTATTACACTCACAAGCTTCAAGTGGTCTTTTCCAATCTCCCTCCCCCGGCTCCCACCAGTGCAAACTCAAACATTCAACTCGGTCAGACCGAACACCAGGTAACAAATGCTAAGTCTGTTCCCTCAAAAACAAGAGGGGGGGCGGGGGGAGAAAGTCCTAACTTCTGAGGCTGCAGAGCAGAGAGCCCAGGTCAGAGACGCTGGGGCCGTGCCACACTGTGGGCTCTGGCCAGGCCAGTAGGCAGGGCAGGTGCCGCCCGCTGGCGCCGTCCTGGTCCATAGGCCTGCGTCACTCGGGAGGCAGAGCTGACCAAGAACACCCAGCCCTGGGCACAGCCGTCACGGGTGGGAGCACCAGAAGGGAGGGAAAGGCGCGTCTGTTTGCGGGGAGGGTGGTGGGTGCTCCTGGTCCACAGCAGGCTCCGCGGCAACTTCGAGACGAGGCGTCTAGCAGCGTGAACCTTAACTGAACCTGCGCCACCCATCCTAACAGGCTCATTTTCCTTTTTTTGGTCAGTCTCGCTCTGGGCCCAGGCTGGAGAGCAGTGGCGTCATCACAGCTCACTGCAGCCTCGAGCTCCTGGGCTCAAGCGATCCGCCTGCCTCAGCCTCCCAGGGTGCTGGGATCACAGGCCATGCCTGGCCTCTAATCTTACTTTTTATAATTTGAAGTCATTTTGGCAGAAAACGCCGTCATGTGAGTCACGAAGAGGAAACGCACTTACCGATTATGGTGTCCCCTTTAAAGGGCATCTTGGAAAGTGACAAGTTTTCTATTAAAATGCACACTGGGGAAAAAAAGGATAAATGCAATGTTAGTTTTCTAAAAGTGCCCATCACATACTTTGACCTCAGTGTGTTGGGTCCTGTGCTGCCAGCAGCAGCTCACCCACCCCACCCCGGGCAGGGCTGTCTGGCGCATGGACGAGCCCGGGGGCACCTCCACACCTAACCAGGCGCGGAGAAGTCCCGAATCCTCGCCGGGCGATGGGACCCAAGTGCGCTGCAGAGAACCAGGCTGGCTCCACCGAGGGAGCACTGCGCGGAGGCTGCAGCGTCCTGGGACTGCGACACGCAGCCCTGTCAGTCGGGGACCCGAGTTGCAGCTGTCACATCCCATGCTCCCCACCGAAAGCAACACCCACCCCTTCTCCTAGCTCCTGACTCGCGCTCCACGAGCAGAAATGTGCTCGTGCCCCGCCGCGAGGCAGGGACATCTGAACGGAACCAGTGAGTGAGTACTACAGACAGTGCGTGCCTTTCTCTAGCCACCACCTGCTCTTCGTAACGACATAATCAGCCAGGGGAAACCGCTCGCACTCTTCCTAGGAGATGTACGATATTTTATAACGTGAACACAGAGTGAACACCTGGTATTTCTCCTGATGAACTAAGCTCTCCATGTTTGTCCCTGTAGACAGGTGGGCACAAGCATGGCTATAGCTACGGAGGCCGTCTGCCCACCCCTTACGCGCTCGGGGCTGCAGGTGCCCGGGTGGCATTTTCACTCACAGAGACACTGCCAGGGCAAAGGAAAGAGACTGCAGCATTCACACTCACGGGGGAACCTTCGCTCCGTCTCCCTCGGCACCAGCCTTAGTTCCAGCCAGCTGGGAAGGTGGAAACCGTCTGCTCTTTGCCGGGTTAATCAGCATTTCCCGGCCCACTGAGCCACCCGAGGCACCTCTCACCAAGTCCTGGGCCATCGGGGTTTGCACTTGTGTAAAATGTCCTCGTCTCTGCTTTGCCCAATTTTCTATTGGATCGATTATCTTTTTCTTTTCTTTTTTTTTTTTGTGGAAATTTTACGACGGCTTTGCCTCCCAGACATAACTATTATCCATCAAGGGCAGCCCAGGTGTTCTCCCTGCGTCTGCACTTTGCCTGGCAACCTTGCATGTGAGACGTTCTCCCACACACAGGCAAGCTTCACCATCCCCGTTTCCAGCCTGTAAAACCACTGCTAATTCTGTTAGCGGTTATGTGCAAAGATTAAAAAAACAAAAAGAAACAAACCACCCAGAAAGCCAGTGCTTCCCAGTCAGGAGTCGTCAGCGCGGGATTCTCACGACGCGCAGGCAGGGTCTGCCCTGACGTGCCGGGGAGGGACAGAGCGAGGCAGCGAGTGTTCGTGCTCACAAAGCTGGGGACACCGCTAGGGGCTCGCTCACTGTTTCTCTTTACTTCTGTGAAGATTTGAGAATTTCCAAATTTAGATTTTTTAAAGGACCAACATTATCCTATAATGTCTCCTAAAATTTCTTTGAAGATTTTTATGATTATATTTTTTATAGGTAAGTTTACAGTTGATCGCACATTTAGTTTTTGATGCCATTTTGCTTTCTTCCACGCCATTTTGCTTTCTTCCACGTGGGATCCGTGTGTGGCGCGCGGGCAGCGAGCAAACTCCCTCACTCCACGGCTGGACACGCCTTCCCTGTCGTGGATCCCAAACCACGGGCACTGTCATGTCAGAACCCACTTCCGGGTTCCGTGTGCCATTCTCAGCAGAGTAGTTTTAGGGTGTGTTTTAAGGACTGGAAAATGCAAGTCCTACTTTCAAAGGCATTTTCTTGGAGACTTGCCTTGTATATGAACTTTAAATGCCTTTTATCAAGTTAAAAAAACAAAAAATCCCCAGCACATGAGAAGATGTTCGACATCACCAGCCCACAGGGAAATGCAAGCTGCACCCGAGATGAGAAGTCACCGTATGATCAGGACGGTAAAACTAAGCCCAGTGAAGAGACGAGAAGTCCGCGAGGGCTGGAGGGTTGGACTCGCACCTCGCTCGTGGGAGCATGAAATGACACGGCCTCCGGAAACAGCCTGGCCGTCTCCTGTGAAACGAGACGCACGCCTCTGCGGGGGAGCGCGCAGGCACGTCCCAGAGAGAGGAAAGGCGAGTTCCCACGAACCGGGCACGGGCACCGTGGTGAACCTACTCACAGCCACACCCGAGCTGGACAGTCCGAGTGTCCCTGACAGGTGAACGGCTGAACATGCCGGTAAAACCAGACAGCGGGAAACAAAGGAACCATCTGTGAACACACAACAACCTGCACAGGTCTCGGGGCTCATGGAAAACGCCACCTCGAAAGAGCAGTCACCATCTGAGCCCATCGCAGAACATTCTAGAAATGACAGACTATAGCGACAGGCAGGCGGGCTGGGGATACAGACGTGAAGGGCAGCAGGGCATCCTCTGCCAAGGGAGCAGGTCTGTGTCCCGCTGCACCGTTGGTTACACGGATCTACGCAGGGCACGGATGTGCACAGAACTGGACATGCACACACGGCGCACACGTGGAAACTGGGGAGACTGGATGGGTCTGTGGTCTGGCCAGTGGCGTGGCACCAACGTCAGCATCCTGGCTGCGGTGCACTGCGCCATCACCACGGGGGCAGCTGCGCAAAAGGCGCACAGGGCTCTGCCGATAATTTCATAACTCCCTGTGAGGCTGTAATTATTTCAAAACCCAAAGTTTTTTTAAAAACCCACAGGCCAGGTAATTCAGACCAACCCTCCAGCTAAGACAGCATCTTAAAAGCCGGACAAAGTGGAAAACGAAACGCGTGCCTACGTCACTGCAGTTACCAAGGCTCTGCGTGGGGCAGGTGTGGGGCATCCTCCCTGAGCGGCTCTGCGCACGCCAGAGCCACCTCAGAAATCCCAGGGCACCGTCGGAATGTCTAGGGTTCTGGCTAGTGGGGCAGGACTGGAGTCGAGGGCTGTCGAAGGGAGAAGTGGCAAAGCCCCTCACAATGGGTGTTGAACCCAAAGGACTACGCCCATTTCTAGAAATCAGTACAAGCAGCACGTCAACTGGCTGACGCCAGTGCTGAACCCTCTCAAATCCAGACACTGGATGGAGGTGACCCCACACCGTGAGCACCCGGCGTCCCGCCAGAGCCAACCCAAAGCCTCGCTGGGGGAGAATAACGTTCCCAGGCTTCGAAGCTTTTCTGTGATGTTTCACACACAACATCCGTCCTTTAGAAACAGAACCATGGAAGCTCTGGGCAACGATATCGTTAAAGATTTTAAATCGTGCTCAATATGTTCAAGGAGGTGAAAGGAACGACTGAAAACCAGGACAAGGATATGGAAACCGTAAAAACAAACAAACAGAAGTTCTGAACGATAAAAATACTAGAATCAAGAATTCAAGGATGGGTTTAATAGCAGGTAAGATGCAGCTGATCCGAGAATTGGAAAACATCCAAACTGCACGACAGGGAACAGGGAGAGAACCTAAGACGAGGAGGGTTAAGTGAGAAGCTCTGGGGCAACCAGAGTCCTGAGAGGAGAGGACACAAGAGCAATATTCGAGAGAAAATGGCTGAGAATTTTTCCAAAGTGACTCAAAAAACCTAAGAAAACGACAGATCATGAATCCAGTACAAACCTGGAGACCTCCAGGTAAGACAGACACGACGAAAATGCACCCAGGGATGTCGCAGCAAAGCTGCCGGAAATCACAGAGAGGATGACGCAGCCGGGGGACTTGACAGATGGTCTCCCGCAGGCGTAAGTGGACTGCAGCCAACGTCGCAGCCAGAAAGGACGCGAATCCAGAAGACAACAGGGTGTTATCGTCAACGTGCCGAAACACAAAGGAGTAGATGAACGCCTAACTACAGTTCTATCCCCAGCAAAGACGACCTTCACGAGTGAACGTGAAGAAAGACATCTTCAGACAACTGCTCCAAGATGACGCTCAGACCTCGGCCACAGAGAACACCGTGGGAAAGGGAACGATCTCCTTGGGAGGTCGGACATGCAGAAAGGAATAAGGACAGAAAACAAAGGGTGTATGTGGGTAAATCTAAATGAATTTTCACTACATAAAACCACAATAATGTCTTGTGTGATTTAAAATACACATAAACCAAAGGGCATGACACAGAGGCCCCGTCACGAGGGGAGAGGCAGGCGGGGCATCTGGCCTCCCACGGAAGCAAGCTCACGAGCGCTGAGTGCGCCAGGCTACCTACCCTGCCCATGAAGCAACAATCTGCCACGCCTATGGCAGACCACACCCTGGTCTCCCTCCCTGGTTCCCGCGTGGGGAAGAGAGGACTGTCCCAGGCTCTGTCCCGAGAGCAGCAGTGCAGGGTGGCACTTCTGGTAGGAGGAGGGGGCCAGGCGCTCCCCGCCCTCGCAGACCCACCATGCACTGCCGCACAAACAGGTAAACATCACCTGTGGTTCTTTTAAGGCCCCAAAACGCCGGGGCCATCACAAGAGCAGAATGCAGCCCACCCTAACTGCTAGTGCTCCCGTCTTCGGCTCTCCCGGTAAGGCTGAGCTCCGCTGCTTTTCCTGCAGTGCTAAATTGTGCGGCCGGACTAAGCACATGACCTCACAACGAGGCAAAGACACGATCGGGCGTTCCTCTTCCCGGCACCTGGGGGGCGGCTGGGCTGCCTTGAGGACGTCTATGGTGACAATCACACTCTGTCCTGCGACACCCAGACCTGTGTGGATTTTCACAGAGGCCAGCTTGTCACGACACTTCTATGAGAACAAAGTGGTCCGGGAAGACCAAGTCTTGAGCAGTTATTGCCACAAAATGTGCAAAAAACACCCAAATGAGTCTGCACTTTGGATGCCTGGCCGGGATATTTACGGCTCTGGAACCTGAGGAGCCCCTGGTGGCAGCTGTAGCTGACGCAACCTCCAGGTGTGAACACACAGGGCTCGGCCCACACCTGCCAGTCCGCGCATCACTCACTGACGAGAGCTTGAGTCCAGTCTCGCGTAAGTGAACACACTGAAGTTAAGGCTATTGAGAAACAGCTGCGTAAGCATGTGATCATAAATACTGAAGCAGATAAGAAAAGAAGAGCTGAAAGAATTGAAAGGGCTGACTTTGGAGAAGCAAAAATCTGAGATTGGGGTGTGGGGCTGGGACCACTGACACTCTGCAGAACAATTTCACTTTCTGACCTATTTAAACTTAAATTTGGAAGGAAACATGAACAAAGTGGAGGAAACCCCGAGTTTATACTAAGGACTGGCGAGGAGGAGAGGTGCAAGGAGGGGCCTGCTGTGTGCGGGGGCCTGGCTGGGGCGCAGGGAGCAGGTGGACCCCGGGGAGGGGCCGGGGTCAACGTCCAGGCCCAGCTTCCTCCCTCCCTGGGCGCCCTCTGTCGAACACGCTGGACCAGGCAGTGGCCTGAGCAGCCACAGCCCCCGCAAACCCCCCACGAGGACCCCTCCAGGCGGCCCCCCGAGCAGAGGCTGGCGGGAACGGTGCAGCCAGGGCAGAAAGACCCCAGCCTGCCCCCCCAGCAGACCACACAATGCAGCCACCCTCCAGGCCAAACCCGGGTGCCGCGAAAACGCCAGATGCCAAAATAGCAGTAAGGTGCCTTTTTAAAATCTTCGGACGAAACACATCGTTTTCCTATCCCAGTTACTCTGCAGCCTGGGGCTCTGGCAGGGATGGGGGCTGGGCCCAGTATGGGACGGGGCGAGACCAACAAAAATGCCAGCACGTCAGCCCAAACGCCCACGCCCTCGCAAGCAGCCCACCCAAGGGCAGGCGTCCTGAGCGGGACAGACTTTCCGGAGAGCTGCTCCGCAACAACCGCACGAAAGGACACGTGTTCTTTTTGCCAGCTGTTTCCTGCCTAGAGAAAACGGTTTTTTCCTGAGCTCACAGTTCTGTTTGTGACGCACAGATGGTGACAAGGCACCCCCCTCAGCCACACGGCACGCTGAGACGCTGCCCCAGCTGCACGGAGCTCCGCAGAACACGTCACGGAGGCAGAGCGGGCTGTGAGGCAGTGCGCAGTGTGAGCCCCACTGTGTGAAACGCGAACGCAACCGTCCCAGCCAAGGAGAGCCAACCTGAAGGTGCTGAAGCCCCGGCACGGCTCTGGCGCTGCGCTCGCTGCCCGGGCTCGCTGCCCCGACTCGTGGCGGGCAGTGGCACCTACGCACGCCTGCCGCTCCAACACCCAGGGCGACACAAAGGCACACCCTGCCGTGGACGGGGACGAGTGACGGTCCTGAGGGTCACGGTGCCACCTCCAAGTGCCACTGCCAGGGCGCAGGGCTGGCTGTGAGGAGGACGGTGCAGGAGCAGACCCGCCAGGACACCCCACACCAGACAAGCTCCCAACTTCAGAGACGGTTTACAGACCATGACTGTCGACAGTGCCTGGGGGAGAACCTCCAGACTACGCTGGGAAGGCGGCGTCCGAGGAACGGTGAGCAGGTCCACGGTCACACTCCGTGTGCTAACGCGGGCCTAACGGGATCCGTGCAGCACTGGCGGCACTACCAGTCCACGTGAGCTGACAGAAACTGGGTCACACGTCTAGAGTTTGTGCTCCAGTGACATCCATCAAACCCATGACAACGCGGAGTGACACCGACAGCAATGCAAGCCGGTGGCCCTCAGCAGAGAAATCCCCCCGGGCCTGGCTGCAGGCGGACACTGCCAGCCTCAGGGCGAGCCCCCCAGCTTGGAGGTGGGAGGTGTGGACAGGAAACTTGAGGGTGCCGTGCGGATCCAGACATCTGTGCACAACGGTGGCATCTCTGAACCTCCTCACCGCCACCTCCGACCTCGGCCACACAGCAGGACTTGAACCTCCAGGTCCCCAGGCCAGCATTTGCATCAGGGACGTCTGGGAAACCGAAATCGGGCTTCTATTTAAACTCTGCGGGAGCGCCTGAAGTGCGCTGTGTGTCCTCCTCGAACTCTCACAGAGACTCGCCTGAGACAAGACGATCGTTGCCGGGCTGTTTGAAGCCCCTGGGGATCCGCAGGACGTGGGGGTCCGGGGCAGCTGTCAGGTGGACGCAGGGCGTACGGGGTCTGCCACGGTCACTTCCCCGGCCGCGGAAAGCGGGCCCCTGACATGGATGCGGAGCTGGCTGTGCTATCGCCAGCCTCAGCCACGCGCCCCACCTTCACTGCTTCCCTGAGCCCGTCCGGAGCCACCGGCTCCCAGGCCCGTCCCTCTCAGCTTACAGGAGGCACCGCTGGGGTCAGCGGTTTGCATGACCTGCTGTTCGGTTCCCTCCCTGCACTTGGCACAGGTGTCCTGGGACACCTCCGGGCACGGCACTCCCGTCTGCCTGAAACACAAGCGCCAGCCAGCTCCTGGCGGCACAGCAAAGGCGCACGTGGAACACGGTCCGCTTGCCTGTGGCGGCCCCACCTCTCAAACTGGCTCCGGGAGTCCAACCTTCCTGCTCTGGGGTGCGGCGAGGGGCAGCCTTGCCACGTGGTCTGATGCCAACAATGAGCAGTGTGGTGACCCCACCTGGGGGCCAGACAGCACCTGGTCACACTCTCCACTGCTGACGGCCTGTGCCTTGTCCCACCCACATCTAGACCCTAAATGCTCCGTCCCACTGCAAGAAGACGCCCAGGCCTCACAGGGCTCATCTTCAGGACACAGAACGTAGATCCTTGCATTTCCAGCCTCCTTGCCCCACGTTCCTCCGGGCGCCCTGCTGCAGGGCTGGGGCGAGAGGCAGCCTCCCCACTGGGCCCGGCTTGTGCGCCAGCCTCGAGGGCGGCACGGACGGTGCTGACAGGTCCCCAGCTAGCCAAGCCCAGCTCGCCGGGGGTGCGCCTGTTGCACCTAAATCTGCTGCCACCCCCAGCCAGAGGGGCTCTCCATGCACCCGCGTGGCCAGGACTGACCACAGCGCCAGGGATGCGAACGAGCACCTGGATTTTCCAGGAGGTTTAGCTGAATGGGCTGCAGGAAATCTCAGTATGTGTTAGGTTGGTGCCATTTGAGTTCCCTGCAAGCATTTAAATACGATCTGAAAAATCGCTCTGTTCCGCAGCTACGTTCAACTCCAACACTGTGCTGAAGAGGAATGCGGCGCTCGTTCGACGTCCCCAGCGCCACCCACGGCCACGCCCCCAGGAGCGGAGGGCTCTCCGCGCAGACGCCCACAGAAGACAGCCAGCCAGAGCCGCGGCAGCGGTGAAGGGACCACGCGAGGCCTGGGGGGCATCGCTCTCCTCGCGGCTGGAGAGGAGGCTGCGGCTCGGCCCTCAGACCTACCTGCTTGTCTCATGAGTTCTCCACCAAGACCCCTGAAAGAGTAAGGGAAACGTTCAGAATTAAAATCTCGTAACGTGCAAAGCAACGTGAAATATCCTCACGCGGTGACAAACATAATTTCAGGCTCCAAAAACTATTAAAATATTAATTAGCTAAATTTGCTACTAAAAGCATAAACTATCTTAAAAGAAATGAAAAAACGAGACACAACCATCTTCCGGAGGCCTCTTGTCCCTCTGGGTTGCCCGTGTCGTACTGTTACCATCGAGGGGCCAACCTCAAACCGCGCCCGGCTCTCGTTCTCAAAGACGCAGGGAAGCATCTCCACCCGCCCTAAGGAGCAGCCCTGCTCTCCCTCGCAAGCAACCAGGGAGGAGGCAGTGCCCGTCCACCGCCTCTGGACGCCTACATGACGTCTGACGCTGATAGCGGGACGCTGGGGACGTGGGCGCAAGACACACTTGTCGGAAGATAAACTAATTTATGAGACTTGGCTTCTGGCCCAGAGGAACAGGATCTGGATTTGTCCTCCTGTCTTAAACGACTGGGAAGCTGGAGAGACACGAGACATGGTTCAGACCCTGCGACACGGCACAGGACGTGGGGCGTGGGGGCCTCCCACACCCTAGGGAGCTGGGAGCCGCCGCCAGGCTGGAGTGCACAGCGAGGCCCACGCGGAGCCCGATCGCCTGCTGGAGGAGCAGCTGGAGGCGGAAGCTGCCAGGCCAAGGCATCGGAAACTGAGCGCAGAGGAGCGGAGGGCACGGGGCAGCCAGGACAGCCCAGGTCCCGTGGAGGAGCCGACGGCAGCAAGGCAGGCTTCACCCCCCGGGTAGAGGAGAACCGCACAGGGCTCGCCACCCCGCAAAAGCTACATTAAGAAGTACCAGAAAAGAGAAAAGGCAAACTGCAGGGAGAGAGAAAGACCCTGGGTCTGACGGAGAGAGCTGGCATCCGGAACACCACAGAGCTCGGCGGCTCCGTGAGGACACAGACGATAAAGCTTCTTCATCAGCAGGAGCTCTGAACAGTCCCTTCCCCACAGAAGTGCCCCTCAGCACACGAGGACGCCCAGCACTGCGAGTTACTGGGGACACGCAAACTACAGCCCCGTCCAGACACCTTGACACTCCCACAGGGTGGCTCAGGGTGGGGCGACCTCGCCGCCGCCGGCCGCAGGTGCTGGTCGGGCTTGAGCAGCCAGCTGGAGGGGAGGCGGCTGGAGTCACGGAAACGTGCGCCTACCACAGCACCCCACAACGACACTCCTGGTCTCTACCCGGGAAAGAGGACACAGGTCTGCACCAAGACCCGCGTTCCTGCACCCGCAGCATGGCTACTCCAAACAGCCAAAGGCTGGAAACCGCACGTCCGTGAGCTGGTGAGTGGACAGACACACTGCAGAACATGGCTCCGCCACAAAGAGCAACGACACATTAACACACGCAACGTGGATACATCTCAAAAACACACCCAGGGGAAGAAACCAGACCCAAAAGGCTTCATGTAGTGTGGTTCCATCCACACGAAATTCCAGGCAAGGCAGAGTGTGCAGCGGACAGAGGCTGCAGGGCAGGGAAGCTCTGGGGCGACCGCGGCTCTGTGTCTCTGTGTCGGCGCTGCGGCTGCCTGCGATCCCCAAACAAACAACAATCTCAAACGAGGAAACGTCACATGTTGAGTAACCTCCATAAAGCTGAAAAACACCAACTGGGACACTGAGCTGGTGGACTAACCCGATCCAAGCACAGCACACGCGGCGGGGGACAGCAGGGCGCCAAGCACAAGCGCGGACGCACCAGACAGCACCTCTCGTCACTAGTACACACCAAAAGCCGGGGTCTTGTGAAACTCACCTGTACAACTGACGCTCCCAGAGCTGAAAATAAAGAAGTGGAAGTTACTATTCGTAATTTGAATTTTTAAAACAACACAGTACGTGCACAATAGCAATAAGTATCAAAATGGGACAAAGAAAATGGCAGAGCCAGCACTCGGGAGGCCGCGTCACCACTGCCACATCCTCAGCGCCCTTGCGAAGCCCCCACCGCGGGCCCAGAGGTCCCTTGGGAGGGAAGATCGAGGCACTGAGAAAGAAGGAGGGTGGCCAGAGGACGGCACCAGCACCGGCCGCGTCCTGGCCCCGAGGTCCAATGCGGAGGTCTCCCCCAGACAGCCTCGTGGGCAGAAAACTCATCGTGGCAAGCAGCATTCTGATGTTGCTTTTTGGTTAAAAGAACTTAAAAGCACTTCACGACATCATTACGACTAAAATTTACTCAATGTTCATACTTGGCCAAAAATTCTATTAAACTCTCTAAACGCATCCTTTAATTCTCACGAAAACTCAAGGAAGTACGTTCTGTTACTACCTATTTCTACAGAGAAAGAAGCCACGGTTTGGGGGACTTGCAGGCTTCCTGCGGGCACAGTCAGTCGGCGGGGACGGCCCTTCCTGCGGCCACCGCCCTGGAGCCTCCGGCCTGCCCGCGTCTCCAGATTCGGAGGTGCCAGACCCCATTGGGTGAAAGACGTAAGCAAACAAACTAAGTGGCTATGCCACAACCAAAAGCAGGTTACTAGCACGAGGACCTGGGATCAAAGTGGTGTGTTACGACGTAAACAGGGACGTCCCAAAGAATATCAACTGTAAAACTATTTAATTCCTTATGCATGATTCTGATATCGTGTAATACTGAGATCCACAGTTCATACTTTACCTCTTGTGGGTCACAGAAGCCTTTGAGAATCTCCTAAAACCCAGAAAAACGCACATACCCTCTCCCCAGAGAAGTGGGAACACGACATTTTGGACTTCATTTCAGAACGAGACCTCTGGCTCCCAGCAGAGCACAGCTGGAAATCGAAGGCCCCCGGGCTCATTCCAGGTGCCGCCCCGCAAGTGCGTGCAGTGTCCACGGCACAGGGCGCGACCCCCAAGTCGGTGGGGCGCTCTGTCCGAGGAGTGCGGTCGGGCACCACGGGGTGGGGGTGGGGAGGATGGTGATCCGGCCTTCACGGAAACCGCCGCTGACTGCACTGGCTCAACCAACGTGCCCCTGAGCCAGGACGTCTCGGCCACGTGGGAAGAAAGTCTGCGCTCTCCGCCCATCCCAGAGAAGCCCCCACGGCGGCCGAGCAACACTGCCCAACAGGACCTGTCCCCTGAGTGATCACACCAGGGTCACCCCACCGCACCCCAGGACTTCAGACAAGCTGGAGGCAGGTGGAGAGACCCCAGCACCTCTGAGAGGGGCAGGCTCGGGGACTGCACACGCACCTGCTGGTGGATCTGCTTCAGGCCCTGCACGGCCTTGTCATCCAGGTAGTCCGTGACGGGCCTGTGGAAGTTCAAGCACAGGTGAGGTCACAGAGGCCAAGATCCCAACCCCAGGCACATGCTAAGGAACACACGGGCTCAGAAATATGGCGTCTCCCGCAGGGCCCCACGGGCCCCGAGATCCCTGCAGGGCATGTCCGGTGCCTGTGCTGGGTCAAGGCAGGTGGAAGGGAGGATTCTCCCTCACAGCTGTGGCCACTGTGGAAAAGAGACGAGTTCCTGGTAGGCCTGAAACGAAAGCCCACCTGGCGGGGCGCCCTGGGTCGTCCTGGGAGGGGCCGCTGGCAAGGTGGGCCCTCGGCTGGCACCGAGGAACACGGGTTTCGGCAGGGTTCCCACCAATCCCAGACTGAGGAGGGTGCCGGGCTTAGACTGTCTGCACAAACCGTGTGGTTCACCAAACACCTGGTTTCCTTCCGGGATCTGGAATTCTGCTTCACTCCGGGCAGGGGTGTCCACAGGACCAGACCCCAATAAAAGCCCTGGGCACTGGGTCCCACACGTGCTTCCCTGGCGGACACTTCACATGTGCCGTCACAGCTCCCAGCTGCGGAGTCACACACGCCCTGTGAGGCTCCCCTGGGAGAAGACTTCAGACACTCGGGCCCAGTTCCCGCAACTTCGCCCCACCCGCCTTTTCCCACCACCAAAGCGAGCAACGCCACAGACGCAGCTCTCAGCTCCGCCCACAGGTCCCTCCGCACCCCCGCGAGGATGTCCTAGGGCCGGGTCTGCAGCTGGGGCTGGGCTCTGGGTGATGCAGGCGGCCAAGCCTCCCTCGGCTCATCGGGGAGAGCTGGGGTCACAACCGCCCACCATCACTGTGCCCCCAGGGAGCCTCCTGCATCCACGGGAGTGACATAAATGCAGTTTTTCCCAAACTGGAGTCCAGGGACCAGGTTACAGACACCACAGCTGCCTGTGAGCTTCCACTTCTGAGGAAGAGTCAGTGCAAAGTAAGAAAATGGAGCAGCATTTACAAAACACTTTCCTGTATGAACTCAAATGACCCTGCACTTCACATGCTTTGTTATGTACAAAGCAGCCAACTGAAAAATTCTCAGGGAAACTTTTACACTTACATTCTCTGGTATTTTAAAATATTGAGGGTGACGAATGAAGAATACGGAACATGTGAGTTGCCCACTATCACCTCTCACAAAGTGTCTGCTTTGTTAACGAACAGCTCATCTCCTGGCAACGATGAGGGCTTGTGTGGAGATGGCGGCGCAAGGCTGTGGAGGCGCCTCGGCCCCCGCGGCAGGTGGTCCGTCCATGGGATGCGCCTCGCCAGGAGGGAGGACCACGTGCAAACCTCATCAACAAGGGGCGGGACCCCAGGCCTGCAGCACTGCCGCAAACGCAGCGAAATTAAAGGGCTGAGCTGTTCCCAGACTTGGATCGCTGCAACTCCACCGCGAGGGGATCGCGAGCGAAGCACAGCATCTCTCTCAACCCGTCTTCCCACCTGTTCTCCCGCGCTGCGAGTCTGTGCAAGGCATAGGCGACCTCTGCGCAGGCCAGCACCGCCCCGTGCCGTGTGTGCAGATCTGGGCTCCGTGTCATCGACAGCAGCCTCGGGAAAACTGCAGGGACAGACGGGAGGACGTGGCCTGTCAGGCTCGGAAACACGCCCACAGAAAGTCACCCCTGTCGGGCGCTACCCCGAAGCCTGGGGCATCCCCCACGGGCGAGGCAGAAGGTGCAGTGTCTTGTGGAGCTTCCTCCTGGGACCCATCGTGGGTGGGTGACACGGGGTGGGCAGAGGGTGGTGAGAACAACAGCTGCTGTTCCCAGCCCTCGGCTACCCGCACACCTCCGCCTAGCAGGCTGCCCCAGGACCTGCCCAGGGAGAGGCCGTCCTGCGCTCGGGAGTCGCTCTCCTCTGCTCAGAGCAAAGGAATGGAACGTGGAGGCTCCTGCCTGCAGTCAGGATGCTGCCAGCCTCGAGGTGGCTGTAAAAATCGGGACGTATCCAGCCTGAGAGCGCCCAGTCAAGGTGCAGCCAGGAATGGCTGGTTTTTAAAGAATCGGGGAAATCCACAAAAGGTCACTCCCCTCGTCCAGCCCGAGAGTGCTCTCCAGCAGGGAGCAGGGACACAGCCGAGCCCTCCTTCCCTCCCTCAGCGATGACGGGCCCTCCTCCAAAGGTAGGTAAGCGCCACACTAACTCGTGACTTCCAAGTTTAATTCGCGCAGCTGAAAGGCCCCTTAGTTATTAACAAGCCCCTCAGTGTACTGAACACGCACAAGTAAAATCAGTCTTTCCAAACAAAGAGCCACCATTCAAACCCCAGTTCAGCCACGGTAATAAATGCCAGCGGACTAAGTATAATTTTGACAAATTTGTGTATTGTTCCCTACATTTAAGTTGGATGCTTATTTATTCCAAGTAGAAAAGACGAGACACTTTTTTTCTCTGATGACAACGAAGCATAATGAACGTAGACTTAGCTGTTCTATCCCAAAGTGGTTTCGACACTGAGGCAGATTTTCAATCCTCAGTTTAGGCCCATTCTGTAGACATTAACAAATCAAAAGTGCTCGTCTGTAGCAGCTATGGGCCACCTGGCAACCTGGGAGGGGGCACGGCAGCTGTCCGCCATTCGGCGGAATCATCCTTACTTTCAAGCTGACATAACATGACTGGCGGGCCCTCTCTGTGGGTGGACACACACAGGGCGCCTGTCCTGGTGTTCTGTCCCCTCGCCAAGCCCACGGCTAGTTCCTCAGACCCTTCTCAGCAGGAGAGAAACAACGTTACTTTCAGCCCCAGGACTTTGGAACCAGCATGGCAGCCCTGGGTCTCTCTGCCGGGCCTCGCACGGGGCCCACAGACGGCCGGACACACACCCACCTTGAGTGGCGCTGTACTCAGGTGCTCTCGGGGCCAGGTTGGACAGAGCCTTCGCTGCCAGCTCTCTGATGACCCTGAGGGAGAGGGAGAGAAACTGTCAGCTCTAGACAAGCGCAGTGGCTCCCACCTGAGGTCCCAGCTACCCAGGAGGCTGAGGCAGGAGGATGGCATGAGCTGTGTTAGTGCCACTGTACTTCAGCCTGGGTGACGGAGCCAGATCCTGCCTCAAAAAAGAAAGAAAGAAAATTGTTAGTTCCTTCCTTTTGACGATCCTAACTTTATTTGATTCATAAATATAAGAAGATAGGAAAGACAATGTACACGAGTCCTCGACTGGCCACTTGGTCAAGACCACCAATTGAAACAAACACACAGATGCGCACACGAGAACCTCAGATTATAACAAATGAGGAAGAGAATTTACCAAAATGAAACATTTGAAATAAAACAGCTACACGGGTTCTCCTCAGGACACAGCTGCTGTCTCTCCCAGGCACCACGTGGCAACTGGGTGTCCCCACTCCCCGTCACTTGGAAACAGTGTGCCCTGGACGGAACCACATGGAACTGTCGCTCTGGAGGTGATAAGGCCTGACAAGCCAGGAATCTCATGTGGCTCTACCTCATAAACCAGAGGCACGCATCCCATCAGTATGAAAATATTTTCCAGCGCAGCATCTGACCTGCTACTGGAAACACCTGGGAGATCGCAGGGAACAACGGGACAGCCCGGGCCCCTCCCGCCAGTCAGAGCCGCAAGCAGCCGCCGCTCAGTCGCAGTCAGGGGGCCACGCAGCAACCCAGAGACTTGATGAAATGTTACAGTGAAAACGCTCGGGGCGGGCGGTGCTGCACTTTGGTAACTAAAAACTCCAGATCAGCAGCCCTGGAGTGAGCACGGCAGGAGGAAAGCAGCTGCCAAGGAGGATGGTGCCTCTCCACCCCCAGAAAATGGGAGACGCTATTTCTGAACTTTTAGCTGGTTTGTTCGCTGATACCATCCAAGCCAATGACAGAGAAAGGCAGCAGTATCTCCATCTCTAAAAAGATCATAAAATAATAAGGGCATGATCATGCTTTGTAAATCCTGACGTTCTAGAAAATGCCAGCTGGAGCCATTGGGGGCGTCTCTGGACCTGCCTAGAAGTCGGACAAGGCAACCTCCTCAGGCCCTCAGCTCTGCACACCCAGAAACAGCAGCTGTGTCCCAAGAAGGACCGTGTGTAGCTATTTTATTTCAAGTATTTCATGGTTGCATACCTGCAAACTCTCAGATTTTTAAAGTTTCTGCTAGAAAAAAGATTTCCCCCAAAGAATTTTTAAAATGAAATTAATAACGAAAAAAGCCACAAGAAAAATAGAAAACAAATAGCAAAATGGCTGGCACAAATGGAACCACATGGTAATTACATTAAATGTGCACGGATCAAACACTCCACACAGAAAGGCAGAAACTGCGGCAGTGGAGAGAAGCGTGAGGCCCGGCTGTCTGCCGTCCACGGGAGACTGGTCAGGGCCAAAGACACGGGACCGGAGGACGGGCGCACCGCCAAGAGGGCTGGCACCCACAGCCGGCACCAGACCCAGCCTGAGGCCTCTCTGTATGAGGAAAGCCCTAAGCTAACAACGGTCTTCACATCTTTAGAGGGTTGTATAAAGAAAGACAATAAAACACAGGGGACGCAGACCCAAGATGTTTACTCTCTGGGTCTTAAAAAAAAAAAAAGCCACCAGCCCGTGCAACGGTGTCAGGCTGCAGCACAAGACCCTGGCTGCACCTGCTCCCGCCCCGCACCGCCGCCTGAGCTCCGCCCTCTGTGACAAGAGGGACATTTCACAATGAAAAGGGTCAGCACAGTAGGAAGATATAAAAACTGTAAGCGTGTATGTACCTGGCAAGTAACCCCACCCACAACACACGCAGGAAACCTGACAGAACTTGAAGAAACGGACGATAGCAGCTGGAGACTTCAACAGTCCCGAAGTTCAGTCTAACACTGTGGCTACGTGTTTACTGTTTTGGTTTTAAATGTCTCACTGACCGATAAGCCCCTAACTGCAAGAGTTTTAGCGTCACACTTGCAGGCCTGCTCGAGTGCTGGGAGCTCACACCAGCCTCCGTGAGTTGAGGGAACGGAGGAGGGCTCTGCTGGCAGGCGCGCCCCACCCACTCGCATGGCGACAGCAGGCGTCTCCTCTGCTGGGCCCCACCCTCACAGGGGGCCTGCCTTGGCCGCAGCGACTGGCAGACACTTCGAGGCCATGGTGTGGATGTATTCCCCAGTGGATCAGAAAGAACTTTCTCCTAAAACGGGGACGCTGAGGCCCTCACATCCGCAGGCGTTCGCTGTTCCTCAGCCTACGGTCAGGTGCGCATCCTCTGCGAAGACACCCTGACCTCCCTGGAGGGGCGATGACAGCACGCGCACCCTCTCCGTGTTCTGCACCACACGCTTAGCTTCTCCCTCTGAAGAGACACGTTTAACTGCCCATGAAACGCTGAGATACCCTGAGACTGCAACTGTAATTACGGAACAGCCAACAAAGCCCACTGGGCTCCCGAGAGACAAAGCAGAAGACACCGGGGCAGCCACACAGGACAGAGTCCGGTGCTGGGAGGCAGAGGCACGTTCCTGCCGCCCGAGTCATGCCCGTCCTCAGGTGGCCGCGGCCCCCACTACACGCCTCACAGGGCACTCACACAGGACATACTGCCTGACCAGGTCTGCAGACGTGGACCTGGAGACGGACCATTAACCGGAGTATGTGGCGTGAAGACTAGAGTTTACATACTTCGCAGAAGGTGCTTTAAAATACGGCATCCACGATGAGAAAACACACTTAGGGCTTATAAACCAACTTAATCTCTCCTTTGGGGGGAAAAAAAGAATTCTTAGAAAAACAAAGACACAAAACCTACCCATCCCAGTGGCTGACTTTCATGGTGACCAGGTGGTCGATCATCGGTCGGGTGTACTCAGGAAAGCCGGCGATAAACACGCTGCAAGAGACAACATCGGGGTTGGTGAAGCTGCGGTAGAACTGAAACCCCCTCGCGCCGCCTGTCACTTCTTCAAAAGGTAGAGATGCCTACTGTGTGATCCCGCCATTCCCTCAAGGAAGTCACCCGGAAAAAGGGAAACGTGTCCACACACAGACTGGTACACAAAGGGACATGGTAGTTTAATTTGTAACGGCCAAAACTGGACGCATCCCCAACGTCCACATCTGGGGTGGCTCCTGCCAACGAGGGAACGCCCAGCGGCAGCTACAAGGACGGGGCTTGGACACGGGCAGCACGAGGGGCTCTCAAAGTAATCACGCGAGTAGAAGTCAGACGAAAGCGAGTACGTGCTATTCCATTTATACCAAACTCCAGGAAATGCAACTGACCAGTGCTGACAGAGCAGCGGCTGCCGCGGGGAGGAGGACCAGGACAGGTCCAAGGGCACAGGCACCGGGAAGCTTTGGGGGGTGGCTGTGTGCACAGTGACGGGTCCACGGGTGTGTGTCCGCGTCAAACCCGGCATGCCACACAGCTAATGTGCGTCGATTACGCTTCGACGAAGCTGTTAGAAACTTTAAGAAGGAAAAGGCGAGCCACAGACTGGGTGGGGGAACCTTTGGAATACGCAAAAACGACAGCGGGCTTGCATCAGAATATTCAAAGAAGGCAAGCCCCAAATAACAAACTGGCGTGAGATTTGTACAGAAACATCGCAGAAGATAAAAGGCAAATGAGCACAGGAACCGATGCGCAACGTCAGGACCCGTGCGGAAACGCACACGTAAGCCACTGCGCCCACCGGAGCAGGGGAAGTTTTAACAGACAAACACCAGGTGTGGGCGAGGCTGTGGCGACCAGAACGTGCGGATGTTTCTGGGGGGACACAAAAGCACGCAGCCACTCTGCAAAACGGTCTGGCAGTTTCTCGTGAAGTTCAGTGTGTTAAAACTCCCTCTGACGTCTCCTGTGAGAGAAATGAAATGCTCATCTACACAACACTGCTGAGGAAAGGTTCACAGCAGCTTTATTCATCAGAGTCCAGAATTCAAAACAACCTAGACCTTGGCAGACTGACACATCGCACACGCAGAACAGTGTAAAACTCGCCACACAGGACGGACCTCAGAACCCCTGTGCTGAGCACAGCAACCCATGTTCTCTGGGCAAGGAGGTCGCGCTGCTGACCTGTCTAACAGGGGAAATGAACGATCCAACAGAAAGCAGGAGAAGGAAACTCACAGCACAGCCGCCCTTTGTTTAGCCAAGACACCCGTGGCCCAGCTTGTCATCCGAGCTCCTTCTCAGCCTCAAAGAGCCCCGAGTGGACGGCAGGGCGGAGCTCCCCGCCCAGCTCCCTGCCTCTCTTCCTGCCAAAAGCCAGACTCCACAGATTCCGACAAGTGGGCCTCGCGTAGGAGAGAGGGAACAAAGAGCACCCGCGGCAGCCTCGCCGCCACTTCTGCCGCCGGCCTGCTAGAGCAGAGGAAACAGCCGTCTCCGCCCTTCAGAGCTCCCAGCGCCACCCTCACCTTTTCTTCAGTGCGGTGGCCCCCCCACCTCACACACACTGTCACTTCCGCATGTCCTCGTCACTGCGTGAGAAATCCTTCCACCCCAACGCCCGGTCCCACCGTGCGAGCTCCACAGACAGCAGCGCCAGCTGCGTCGCGCTCTCCGTCTGGGGTGCAGCAGTGGTGCCTGGGCCAGGAGGAGGGGTGCGGACACTCCACAGCCGAGGAAGGCACGGGTGACCGCGGTGTGGGCACGGCCAGTACCTGCTGGACTGTGTGCTTCATACAGGAAGTTGATGGAGTGCAAATTATGTCTTAAGAAAGTAAAAGTTACATCTCTTGAAAAATAACATGGAAAGTTAAAAAATTAATCTCCAGTGGGATGGGCCTTTCTTATTATGACTCAAAACCCAGAGCCGTAAAACAATTTGATACGTTCAAACACATGACCCCAAAAAACATCGACCAGGAAAACCACACCAAAAACAAAGTCAAAAGACACACAACAAATCTGGAAAACACACCTGCAACTAGCATCACAAGTAAGAGACTTCCCTGAAATAAATGAGCTCTTCCACGTCAGTAAGAGAAACATCACGGCCTAGTAGAAAATCGTCAAGTTTGCAGAAAACACACAGTTCGACCACTCGAAGCGATGCCTAGCTGCCTGCGCACGGGAAACAGAACCTCTGCTCACCCGCGGTGGCCCACGTCCCAGGGGTTTGCGGCCATCGGCAGGGTTGGGAGGGGCCTGGAGACACCGCCGGGCCATCCCTGTGCAGCCTCTACGCACAGCGATTGGCACGACCCAGGACATTTTCTTTTTGAGACAGGGTCTAGCTTTGTTGCCTGGGCACAAGGGCAGTGGCAGGATCACAGCTCACTGCCAAGTGAGTTGGCTACCACTTCTTCCAGGGTTTGGACCACTTCTTGAGAGGAAAAATATTCAGTTCTCAACAAGCTGTGGGAAACGCCTTTGGCGGTTTCATTGCCACTCTCTCTCCAGGCTTCTTCGCTGCTGGCGTAAACAAGCTACCGTTAAGATGGCAGAACTGTGTGGACAGCTTAGGCGCACGCTGTAACTGTACTGCTTCTCGTTTGAGATACAGTAAACTACGCTTTGATTCAGAGTCGGACATTTCATATTTACCCAAGAAACTCAGGGGAAAAGGTGGTGGATTCCTCACATAAAACATCAATGTCTGTCCCGGTGCTAATAATCACGGAAACAGAACGAAGCCGGGAAGAACTGTGAGGCACAGAAGGATGCCCACCCTTGAGGAAGGATGGAAGGGTGCAGAAATACGGGTGGTGCGTTCCGTCACAGATTATTCCTGGGAAAGAGGCCAAATGCTCCTTTAAAAAAAAAATTTTTTCTTTGTTGTTTTTGGGGAATTTTCTTTCTTCAAAGTCTTCATTAAGGGGCCTCCCGGGAATCTTACCTTTGGAATCCGGATGGTTAATGATAAAAAATGCATTGGGCATGTTCCCTCTCCAAATTTATGGCAAATAAATCATTTCATAAAAACACACCCTTTTTTGTGTGGGTGTTGCAACGGGTTAACTAAGACAAGTGAAATAACTTCCCCAGTATTTGACTTACATAAGTAAAAACAATTTGATGTGATTTCTGCAAACTGCAGTTAGGGATGTTAAATATTTATTCCTTGACCTGGTTACCCAAGTTCCTCTTTCTGACTCATCTCACGGACAATCCAGAGATAATGTCAACTTCGAAACACTCTTATTGAAGCACAGAAAGGAACACAGCCGATTCTAACGCAAGATTTCATTTTGAGAAACCCAAGGAAACGCAGTTGTTGGCTTGTGGCTATTCCCTGTAAAATCCAAGCCCTACACAGAACCAGCACTAATAAAACAGGACTGTAAGGGAAAAACGGTTACCAGAAAGGGCTACGAGGCGGCGTTCCTCCGCAGCACCTCTTTACCACAGAGCAAAGGGCCCCTCTGCGCAGAGCGCCAAGTCCCTCCGATCGACGTGGCGCAGACGCCTCCACGCCTCTCTCCAATTCACTCTCTAACTTTCACACAAAACTTTCACATCCACACTTAGTGGACCTTCCAGGATGGGAAAGACAATGGTGGAAACCAACTTTTGCTGACATCTAAATCAGAGAATATTGTATTTTTGTGACGTACATCAAGAACTTACCTTATGACCAGGAAACAGTTGGCTCTGTTACCGACAGCAAAGTAGTCCGCCGCGGTCAGAATGTCGATTCCGTGAGGGAAAGTGCCCTGTGAGAAAGTGAAATTGGACAGAAGCGGCACCTGCGTGAGCAGGGGCATCTCGGGAAGTCCGACGATCGCATCTGTAGCAGCTCACATTCGGGACCCGAGACGCCCGACACAGACCCACAGCTCAGACCGCAGCTGCGGAGATCGTGCGCGTGAAGACTTAAAGTCGCGTCGGCTTTCTGAGGGCCTGTCCAGGGACGACAGTGCACCGAAATTATTCAAACTGCTTAAAAGTATTTAATTTTTGTCAAACAAATACCTCAACTTCAAAATGCCACAAGAGACCTTTCTTTAAACACATGCCATAAACAGACATCAGGGGTCCAGAGCTGAAGCGGCTGATCTCCCCGACCCACCCCCGTCTGGGCACGGAGACCCCAGCAAGGGGCTTGCTCCGGCAGGCGCAGGCCTGGGTCTGGGCCCCGACGCACAGGGACACACGGGCCTGCCTGGGCTACGAAGCCCAGAGCCGCGCCCACACCTCACACGCTGTCGTCAGAGTGGGAGAGACAACCGGCCCACCACCATAAGCACAGAGGACAAGCAGTGAGCCCCCAAGACTCCGAAATGGGGGGAGTGGGGGCCCCGCTACCCACAACTATGGACAGCCTCCCCGGGGGCCCCAGACCCAGGCCCAAAGTCTGCACATTATCACTGATACCACTCTCTGGTAAAAATATTTGAAAATCTGGAAACAACATCAATAATTTTCTAAAAAACAAAAATAAATGATAAACTTTAAACCAAAAGTAGAAAGCCTCACGGCTATCAACCACAGGCAGACTTCAGCCGTCTCAGAGGAGGTCCCCAGCCTCTGGACCCACGGCTATCACTGGTCCTTTCTCACACCAAGGACTCGTAATGCCCAGGCCACGCAGCAGAAGCACACAGAAGCTTCTGGAAGCTTGCTGCCAAGCCAGGAAGAGGTCAGCTCTTCGTCTTGGGGAGGCCCTGCCACGACCGCCGAGCCCACATCGTGTTGCCCTCAGCAATGTGTGAGGCATGAGTTTCCGAGCCTGTGTGTGAAATTACTTCTGCGCGCAGGTTTCCTGTGAAACACACGACTGACTGTTTAAGATGCACATTGGTGTCGCCGTGGGTCACGTTACGGGGATCTGTGACGAGAAGTCACGGTGTCTGCTGGATCACTAGGAGGTGAGTTCTTTGCCCACAGCTAACAATGCAAAAGACACCAACTTTACGGCTTTGATTTCCACCCCTCAACCTGCAGGAAGTGTTAAGAATGAAGGTTTTAAAAAGCAGCCATACCTGTCTCCCCACATTCTCCTGGAAGGCGGCCTGCAAGCAAAGAACACAGGGCAGGTGAGTGAGGTTTGCTTTCCACCAAACACAGGAGGTAAGTTCAAAACAAACACGGCGCAATATAAATGACCCATGGCTTTACTTTTTCAATAAAAGTCCCCACTGTTGGCTGCGCAGAGCCTCAAGGGTGGCTTGTCACTCGTTTTTACATCCTGGCACTTTTTAAAACCGCAATTTAAGAATTCAAGTGTATAAAATCAGACACACCCTGAAAAGTGGCCTTTAACTGCGAACACGGAGCTTCGCACCGATGCCCACAGGGAGCCCTGGACTACAGAGGTGGAGGGAGAAGGGGACTTCGTGACAACAGCTCACGTTCCTCGGCGGAGGGCACACTGCCCGCAGCCATGACACGTCACAGACAGGCTCTCTGGGCCCCAGCACACGGCAGGGGCTGCTGGAGAGGTCAAAACTGGGTCTTTGTTATACAACAGGGAGCACCTCATCTCCGCAGCGGCCCCTTCTCTCCCATCCCTCCCTTTGCTACTTTGTCGTCCCTTGGGGCAGAGCCAGCCATCTGCACGGTGACAACCACGTCTCCCTTCCTGTGTGCTCCTGTGTGTCCAGAACTGGCACCCTGGCCCTCCCAAAGCATCCGGGACTCACGGTTCTGCAGACAGGGCTGTAGACACGAGGGGACATGAAGGACCCAGGAAAGCTACACAGGCACCCGCATGGCACATGCCACTAGCACCAGGGTATGCAGGAGAGCAGGGACATGGGACGGCCGGTGTCAGGGAGGGGCGGCCCCTGCCCAGGTGGAAACCACCCCACACTTGCCTGAGGGCGTCCTGAGAGCAAGGCCCAGACAGGGGCACGGGCAGAGATGTGGACAGTCAACAGGCTGAAGCAGAGACCCAGCCCCGTGGCATGACAGTAAACTGAGGCACGAGACCCCAGTGCCCGGCAGAGACCCAGCCCTGAGTGTCGTCCGCAGGTGGGGAACGGGAGAACAGTGCCCCGTGGATGGCTCTCGTGTAGCTTTTAAATGGGGAGGAGGGAGACTGGACTTTTGCTGTGTACCATTTTGTCACTTTTGTGGTAAGCTCGTTAAGGAAAGAAACAAAATCAACTAAAAGACAATGCAAAAAAGATACACTGTAATGTTAACTTAAATAACACGTAATAATTAGGGACACATTTACTCCTCTAGCGACATCATTGAAAAAGTAAAAATACCGAGATTTATGTGGGAAAGCACAGCCCCAGACAGGTAAAACCACCCTGCAGAAGACGAAATTAGAGGACTTGCCCCACCCAGGTTCAGGCAGCTGCGTGGCCGGGAACCACAGCGGTGCACACTGACAGAGCAAACAGGACAAAACCGGGGGGATCTGCGGCTGGGCAGAGTTCTCAGACTTGACACTGAAAACATCATCTCCAAGAGAAAAAATGGACCCACTAGTCCGTTTTGGAGACGACTAGTTTTGGAGAGGTCCAAAACTAAAAACTTGTGCCCTGAGAAAGACCTTATTCAAAAGGATGAAAAGATGAGCTCCAGCCTGGGGAAAAATATGTGCAAACTACATATCCAATAACGGACCAGTGTCTAGCATATATAAAGAGCTCTCGAAACCCAATAATAAAAAAACAAACAATCCAATTAGAAAATGAGCACAAGAGCTGAGCAGACATTTCAGCGAAGAGGACACGGACGACAAACGAGCACATAAAAAGACATTCCATGTCCTCGGCCACGGCAGAAACGCACACTCGCACCACAAGGAGGTCTCCCCACACCTATGGGAAGGGCCAGAACACGACGGCAGCCACTCGGGACGCCGGCTGGAGCGGGCAGGAGCAGCAGGATCCCCGGAGGGCTGTGGGGGAACATGTAACAGCGCGGCCCCCAGAGAATAGCCCGGCAGCGTCTCACAGAACCAAACACCAACTATCGTGTGACCAGCACCTGCGTCTTGGCGTCTGCCCAGAGAAACAGCCGCGTCCTTCATACAAACCCTCGACGCGCACCTTCCCCGCAGCCCAGTTCTCACAGCCAGTGGCAGGGGCAACCCAGACACCCTGACGTGGGGCGTGAGACCCACTCGGCGTCAGAAAGCACTGGCGCCACAGTCTGGTCGCGCCCCAGGGACTGTGCGCACAAGCTCCGTGTGCCCTGTCCACGCAACACTCTGGAAGTGACATCAAAGGGTCAGGGCGCGGGAGGGGCTGCGGGGCGGGGGGCACGGCGAGGGCGGCCGTGGTTAAAGGGACAGCACGGGGCTGCTGCGTGTCTTGGCACAGGTGACGAGACCACGCAGAACTGATGCAGATGTGCACACACGCGCGCACAACAAAGGAAACGCGCCTGAGACGGGGGCTGTGTCAACCTCGTTTCCAGGCCGTTCTGGAACGTTCTTTGAGACCTGGCCACGGGGGATGGAGACGGCCCTGAGATCTCTCTGCACCATCTGTTATAACTACACCTGAGTCCCGATTCTCTCAAAATGTGAATGGAAAATACTAACGTGAGAGCGCAGACACTAACCGTCAGGTGAAGCGCTGCGTGGAAAAGCGTGGCAACGTTGCAGTTAAGGGAGCTCCACGCACCTCTGTGTTAACCGCTGGGCGGGCCTGGCCCACCCCGAGTCCCCCGGGAGGTGCCCCCCGCCCTGTGCCACCTCCTCGCTGGGGACAAGCCTTCCCCGCTGGGGCCTGCTGGAGACCTGCTAAGAGGCAGAGCGACCGGATTCAACTGACATAATTCCAGTTTTTTTTCACAAACTCACTAACACATCCCACGTGAATCGGTCAGGCCTCGCTCCGTCCCGCGCTCCGTGGGTACTCAGAACGGCCGCGAGGCCTCCTCACAGGGCTGCCATGCAGATCAGACACCAGCACCCGCCACCATTTCCTTCCGTGTCATCGATCTGGAGACGCGGGGAGCAGGAGCGTGGGAGGAAGGGGTGTCGGGGCCGTGGGGCGCGGAAGGCATTGGGAGAGGACTCGGGCCGTCCACAGATGAGTCTCGTGGCCCGACCGGGCAGAACTCGACCCCCCGCCCTGAAAGGGACCTGGGAACAGAGCGTGACGTCTCAATCTAAGGTGCCGCTTCATGGTCAGAAAAATTTTATTCCCCACTATTAGGTGCTCAGGCCTCAGGTTTTCAAGCGAGTTTCAAACAACATCTCTTCTGCCTTTCACTGTCCAGTTTTGCAGCCTACTAGGTAAGCAGGGGTGCACTTAGATGGTTTTAACAGAAGAATTTCTTGCCAATTCAAGGGGATTTTAATTCTAACTTGAAAAAAGAAAAAGTGGTTTACATATATTGTTTGTTTCACCTCATCCTCAGGGTTAATAAAAACGTAAGGGCTTAGATTTTATTACTTCTTCCCATAAAAATGTCTTAGGTTACAGTAAATAAAATATGAAATTTAATTTTTAAGCATAGATTTGACATAAAATTTTGTTATATTTCAAGGAGTTTTTACAACTCCTACCTGCTGGGTAAATATCAGGGCAAAAACATGAAGACTTCACCAGGAATTACTGAGCTTTCCCATTGACACTCAAGACAAAACTGCAGCAGCTGCAGGAGCAAGGATTTCTGAGCGTCCAAGTCTGAAAGGACCGAAGCAGAGAAAGACTCACATCCCAACCACTCAGGACGCACAACCACGACGCTTAGAGCTGGAACCTCAGACACTGCCTAACCGAGCTCCTGCGATTTGGAGAGAACCAGCGCTTCACCACGTCAGCCCATGCAGCAGGGTCACAGAATTCATTACTGCACAATTACTCCCTCATCCCTCCGTTCATGCACAGAAGACAGACATTTACGGAGTGGAGTGCCAAGTGCATGGCAGGAGGCTGCACGAAAAGGAGACACGGGCCCTGGGCACACTGTGCTGTCACAGCGGCCAGGTGGCGAGCAGGCCACAAAGCCAGCAGGACACTCGTCACTGGTATGCGGCAGCAAAAACAAGGAGCCAACAGTGACGGAGGACAGGACGGTGGCAGGAGGCCCCTCACCATGGCACCCTGCGTTCAGCCACCGAGATGGAACGCAGGTTCACTGACTGAGGAGAGACTGCAAGCTGAACAGACTTCTACTCTACTCTAGTCGGTAAGGAAATTAAATTAATTGTTTAAAATCTTTCTTAAAAAAAAAACAAACAGATCCAGATGGGTTCACTGGTGAATTCTACCAAATATTTAAAGCAGACATAACATCAATCTTTTAAGAACTCTTCTATGAAACAGGAGGGAAATTTCCAATTCATTCCATGCAGCCAGCGTTCTTCTAACTCCAAAGGCAATAAAAATGCCACACATTAAAAATCTAAAAAACCTGCAGACCAAGATCCCTTATGAAGACAGAATCAAAAATTCCATTTTTGAGAACACTGGCAAACTGAATTGTGCAACGTAAAAAAAAAAAAGCCCAGGATTATACACCAGCACAAGTGGATTTATCCCAGGAATGCAAGGTTGGTTTAATACCTGAAAACCAATTCAGAACCCAGCCGCACCTCCGCTCCTGCACGGCTCCTCCTCACATCCCCCAGCGTCCCTGCCTCTGCCTTCCTAAACCTCGCCAGGTACGACACGTACAGGAGCGTGCACACGTCATGCACACACCGTCCAGCCAACAGCCACAAACGACCACTCCCCACGGCTTCCTGCACAGACTCACTTCCGCCTGTTTCTCATGGGACCTCTGCCTAGAACCTCAGGGGTGGGAGGCACGGCTGCTTCACGCGCCTTCACCAACAAGCCGCGTTCCTCTGAGGGCATCCAAAAGCCTGCCGCAGCCTCCGACCTACACAGAGACCCTCAGGCCATGGCCACGTGAAGCCTTCTCCACACCTGCCTGCACGTCCGCGGGACCTGGACCGCTCCTAGCACCACTCGCCAGATGACGGGAAATCCTGCCTCCCTGTGACGGCCCACGGCAACTCAGGGCAGCCCCAGGGCCACAGGCGGAGCCCCCGGCTCCCTCTCCATCCCACCTGCCACTGGGCTGCCGGACCCTCTGCCATCCACAGGACACAAGCATGCCACCTTCAACTAAAGGACAACACGGAGGAGCTGACGGAAAATCCTCACGGGGTCCCACCACCTCCTCCAACCTGTCCCCGGGGGTCAGCCTTTGCCTCTGCTGCCCTCGGCAGCCCCTGCTACTCCGACCCTTTTGAGACTGAACCCAGAGTTCCGGCAGCTCGAGCCTTTGGGCAGCCGTCAGCTCCTCCCCCTCGCCAAAGCCAGCCCCGCCCCACGTCTTTCTCATCTCACAGCGCGGCCCCCAGGTCTGTGACCTCTGAGAGCTGTGCAGCCGCCTGCCTGTCTCTGAGATGAAGACGCTCCAGCCCTCTGCTGTCCTGAGAGACTTGGGCCGCACTGGCCCAGCTTGGGGTCTCAAGAAGGGGCCGGGTCCGCAGAGAGAGAGGCTCCTGGCCAGAGATCCTGAGGTGCCCACAGAGCCTGCTGAAGTCCTCCGCATCTAAAGTCCACCTCGAACATCACGGGGCTCCCTGGGGGGGCGACCAGGGGCAGTGCTTCAGATTCAGGGAGTCCCACTGGGGGCTGCCAGGCACATCTGGCAAGGCCAGGCCGAGTGCGGCGGGAAGCAGAGGCGACCGCCACTGGCACCTGCTCCTTCCGCGGCTCAGGGCCACCAGTAGGTGAGGCGTCTTCCTGTCACACTCGGAAACTCACAGAATTCTTTCTTCCCTCCTTCAGAATACGGCTGCCCTGAGCCAGGACTGGTCACTGGGCACCGTTCCACCTGCCTGTGTCCCTCGAAAACACCACGGTGAGGGCTGCAGTTCTCTTGGAACGCCAGGGTTGGGGGATTTAGTCCTGACCCGCCCTTCACAGCTGAGACGGCTCCCACCCCAGAAGCCCGAGTCAGCAGGAACCGGCAGTTCTACGCATGGTTTCCGCTCTCGGCACCCCCAGCCTGCTCCCCTCCAGTCTCTCCTGCCACGGCGGAGTGAGCTCGCCAGGGACAGTGCCGGCAGTGACAGGGACTCGCTGGAGAACAGTGACGGGGCAGGGACAGGGAGACAGTGGCCCTGCTCACTGACGGGACAGTCACAGAGTCCACCCCCACTGCATGTAAAGAAACGTCAAAACGAGGAAACTTACAGAGGCAGCTCTTCTGCAGTTGACGTTTCGGTCAAACACTGCGGCAATCACCAGTGCGCTGTGGAAAAGAGGGAAACGGCCAGTGAAAAGGAAATTCACAAAACATGGATGTGGTATCAAGGAGGCCTTTCTCTTCCTTTTGTTCGTCCGTGACTGGAGCCCCCCTGACTCCTGAGCTCACCCCACAGGGCACATGCCGTTTGGCTCGAGGCACCAGGCAGAAGCCAGGCCGAGGCAGGAAGGCCTACAGGGTGGATCCAGGGCGGGGGAGGCGCCACCTGGGGCCACGTCTGTCGTCTCCCCGCTTCAGACACTCACGCTGCAGCAGCCTGACCACGCGCTGCGCACTCTGGGCAGACGGCAACGACAGAGCCCCTCGTGGGCCGGGACGTCTGCCGTCCCGACAGACCCGCTCGCCCCAGCCCAGCCGCTTGCACGCCCAGGACTCGGCGTCAGGCTGTGGTAGCCCTTCTGCAGCCCCCAGGGGCCAGCGCCTCCCAGACAGTCCCAGGCCCACCCTCTGATCCTTACTCCCGTTCTCACCCTCCTCCCCCCACAAAAGCCCCAGTTCTTCCAGCTTAAACAACAACCGAGTCCTGAATCCAACCACATTTGTCAGTGCCCCTGAGGGTGGCAGAATGACGCCCTCCCAAAGGTGCCCACGTCCTAACCCCAGGAACCCTGAACACGTGTCCCTGCGTGGCAGGAGGGAGGTGAGGCTGCTGCCAGCTGATCTGAGGTGAAGAGCACCTGGAGCACCGGGTCCCAGCAGCCCCATGCAACCTAGATCCCCCTTGAGATGGAGGCAGCATCCAGCACGTGGCGCGTGGGGCACCCCTGCAACCCCAGCGCCGTGGGAGGCTGAGGCGGGAGGCTCACTGGAGCCAGGGGTCCGAGTCCAACTGAACGTGGGCCTCGTTTCAGAAACCACAACGGAAGCAGAAGGCAAAAGTGGGGGAACCAGGGACGTCAGCACGAGAAGGACAAGGCCAGACTCGCTGGCTCTGAAGGCAGAGGAAGGACCCGCGAGCCGGGGAAGCGGCACCCAGGGAGTGGAAAGGCAGAATCGCCCTGACGGGACACCGGCAGCCCCGTGCCCTCTGCGTCCACACAGCGAGGTGCTCTCGGCAACAGAAATCAGTGGCCGATGAGCCGTGCGATTCCATCTGTGAGACGTTCTGGAAATGACCAGACTACAGGGACCCAGCCCGACCTGGGGGCCGAGCGCAGGTTCTGCCCAGTACCTTGGCCGTGGGCCACAGCCCGTGAACCTGGCGAACCCACAGAACTGTCTACGACAGGAGCAAACGGCTCTGTGCGTGAAGTGAAGAAACAATCGACAGACTGAGGCGCCGGGACAGACGAGGGACAGTGTCTGCAGGCCGGGCAGGCGAGGACGCCAGGCCCGCACGTCCTGCCGGGCGGTACGCTTGCTGCTCACAGGGGTGCGTAACTAGGCAGGACGTGCGTGCGGAGGGGTAAACAGGTGAGTGGACACGCTACGCAGGGAGGGCAGCCCAGGGGGCCTGGGCTGGGCTAGAGCTGCGGGAATCCTTCAAGTGGGACTGCTAGCAAGGGCACGAACAGGGGCTCCGGTCCAGACGCTGCTCTGACGCCCAGAGGAGCAGCCTGGCATCCCGGATTCCACATCCCACCCCCGCCAAGAGGGACCGAGACTCCCAGGGAGTGGCGGATTCCAGGGCTGGGGCAGGGAAGAGAAGCCGGGCGCATGTCGTGGTGCCAGACAGTGAGAAATGCTCGAAAACGCAAAGACGGCCTCGTGCTGAACGGACACGGAGGCCAACCTGAACCGGGTGACGCTGGAGCCCCCCTGAGCAACACAGCAAGCACCGTCAGCACTGGGCCACAGCCCCAGGGTGAAATGAGCATTCACGAGCCCGCACTGGCATGAACGCGTGGTCAGGGAGACGGGAGGAGGACAGCCCCTCCTCGTGGAAGGGCTGCGGCTGACACTCGAAGGAGGGAGGGAGGGAGGGAGGGACGCCGTCACTACCAGAGGAGTATTCTAGACCAGCCTGGGTGATAGTGAGGCCCTGTCTCTACAAAAAAAAAAAAATTTTTTTTTTTTACACTTAGCCAGGGATGGTGGTGGCACCTGTGGTCCCAGCTACCTGGGAGGCTGAGGCAAGAGGATTGCTTGAGCCCAGGAGTTTGCGGTTGCAGCGAGCTGTGATGATGCTGCTGCCGCACTTCCGCCTGGGTGACAGAGGGAGACCCTGTCTCAACAAAAAAAAAACTTTTCTGGAAAGTGGTTAACTACCTGAAGATCTTAAGAGATCCAGTGTTAGTATCTGGAGTGCTTTGTGTTGACACTGCTCATACTAGTTGAAACTGAATATAATTCAGAAGAACTCTATTAACAGAAAATCATCCCCTTTTCCTCTCTAAACTCTTTATTGTATAATAAACCCTGGCCAAATGAGGAAAAAAATGCAGGTTTAAACCTAAAAGGAATTAATTTTACTTTAGCACAAACATTCTAAGATTGATTCTATTTCAATGTGTCATGATGGCTTTTGCTAACAAAATCTCAGAAATCATTAAACTATTCAAGACATGTATTAATGTGACCTTTTAATAAGTAAAAATTATGTAACTGCTGTTCTTAACAAAAAAATTAGTATTTTATTCTAAATATATTCTCAGAATTAATGGAAGTATTACATTTACATATCGGTAACAGCTTCATTTTCTAAAATCCATAAAATCGTGTGTTCTAGGAACACACGAGAAATGTCCACCTTCCTTGAACATCTGCCGAGAGAGACTCAGGCTCACACCTTCACAACTCTGGCTCCAGCCGATAACACCGAAATCTCCGCACTGAATTCTTGAAATTTCTCGTATTTGTCCTAAATTACTATTTTTAAGTTATGGAACGTTGATTAATAAGAATGGAACAAATACACGGAAGAAACTTCAAATCATCTACCATCCTCACAAGCCAGCCACGACACCGAGGTGTCACCAGCCAACGGCTGAGACAGAACCAGGTGCCTCCCGCTCTGCCCCACCAACATTTTATTCCCGGCTGCTGAGCCAGCCAGGCAGAGTCTGCTTCCTGCCCCCCACTTCCAGCCTGGGAGGACCCTGCTCTGCAGAAGGGGGAGGTGGGGGTGGGGGTGCTCCCAGTGTGTGGCTTCCCTTCCTCTCGCCCCCAACACTGCAGTGCGGAGCCACGGGGAAGGGCTCCCTTCCACCCATTCTTTCTGTGTGACCCAAGCGTGGCCCCGCCTTGGGGGTGAGAGGTGCACACTCGCCTGCAGGCATTTCTCCCCGGTGCTCAGAGTTAGCGCCAGGAGCGCAGGTGGGTCAGCCACCCTCCCCGGGGGGCCCTCCAGCGAGGACGGGCCCACTCGCTTCAGTTCGTTGAGGTGTGGACTCTAGAACAATAGCTCTGGAAAGGACTGTGCTCACGGTCTCCAAGCAGAAGGTGCCCCACCCACCTCTGCTTCTCCGCCCCCACTCCCAGGAGCAGCTGCTCATCTCTGGGCGGTGTGGCCGCTGCCCTTCACTCTTCACAGTGAACACGCTGTCCCAGCAATCACAGCAAGAGACACGAGGACACCCCCAGCCTGTGAGCTGCACAGCAAACAGGTAGTTCACGTGGACAAAGGAGACAGTGGAGGCTTTCAGTATGAAAACGTGACCACAGCAAGGAACGACACATGGCCTCACCCACTTTAATCCACTTGGCTTTTGCACTTACAAGTAAATGTCATAAAATAGTTACTGCTTTATCTATCTACTTTTCACCAAACCTCACAGAGTGTTACAAGACAAATGTAACAGTGCTTGAAAAACACTGCTTTTAACTAACCGTAGATCTCTAAGTTAATTCAACAAATCAACATGTGTGCCTATGCATGGAACAGGTTTGTTTTGTTTTGTTTTTAAGAGACAGGGTCTCGCTCTGTCACCCAGGCTGGAGCGCAGTGGTGCCATCACAGCTCATAGCAACCTCCGACTCCTGGGCTTGAGCGATCCTCCCGCCTCAGCCTCCCAAGTAGCTGGGACTACAGGCGCCACCACGTCCAGCTAATTTTTTTATTTTTTGTGCAGACGGGGTCTCACTATGTTGCTCAGGCTGGTCTTGAACTCCTGGGCTCAAGCCATCCTCCTGCCTCGGCCTCCCTGAGTGCTGGGATTACAGCGTGAGCCACTGAGCCCTCCCCTTTGCAACAGGTTTTTAAGTACTGTCTTGATCTGGACTAAATTTAAAAATAAAACTACTCTATTTTCACATTTTCAGAACAGAACTGGCTTATCTAGAAATACTAGTATGTTTCGAATACAAACAGGTTTAATGATACTGGTTGAGCATAAATATAAAGGCTCCTTGCCAAACTACTGCTCCTACAGGGGCCCCAACGCCCCACCCGGGCCTCCCCGGTCCTTCTCGGCAGGATGGCACCGAGAGCAACACAGTCCAGCCTGCAGTTCAGCCGAGCCGGGAGCCAGACCACAAGCCAGCGGTGGGGCCGGCCTGTGAGCTGAGACGTGCCATGTCTCACCTGCTGGCTTCCCGGAGAAGTTCATGAGCTACCTCGCCAGGTTTCCCAACACAAACAGGCCTGTGTTGAACAGAAAGGGGCGTCTCTCCCCTGAGAGGCAGGGAGGCGGCACGCCCCGACGTGCCGCAGGCTCGGCAAGGGCCAGCCTCCCTGACCCAACTCGGCTCTCGTTTGTATGATGTTTCGCACCAGCAAAGGGCAAAATACGCTGTTCACCTTGGGTAGCAATGACCCTGTCATTTTGAAGTCAAAAATTTTGAAAATATCAGACAATAAGTTATTGTTCATCCATGGGTTTTTTGTGGTTTTTTTTTTGAAAGTTGCACAACACGTCTTTCTTCCAAGTAAAAGGTAAGACTATGGCTAAATTCTGTTCCCCTAAGCCCTAAAAACCAAAGCTCACACGAGTTAACACGACGGTAAAACACAAGAAATCCGTGAAGTGCTTTTGGGTCACGGCAGAACTGACGTGGAGACTGCAGATTCGGCAGGTCCAGTGGGCTGGACACTGGTCAGTAATCGCTACTTAACTTTTCTTGAAAAACAAGCACTACCTTCCCCTGGAAGTCGTACGCTGAGAAACACGGAGCGAGAACAAGACATAGCTTTGAGCAACGCTTGCTGTGTCCTGACTTTTCAGGACAGTCCTGCCCTGGAGGGAGAGATCTCCCTTCTGGGGCACAGCCCACGCTGCCTGGCAGGTTTGCTCCTGGGGAGCTGTACTGGTGGCGGCTGCCCGGCAGGGGCGTCACCACAGCTCTGCTTACAAAAGAGTTTCAGGTGAGGAAATCACCAGGAGGCGACGATCAAAGCCACCCGCACAGCACAGAGCCGTCTTCCTTCTCCTTCCTGCCAATCAGCTTTTGACTGCTGGTCAGAAGACGCTGCTGCGTAACTCGCAGCCATTCTGTGCCGTTTTAACTCTACGTGCTTCATCCCCTGACCACACCTGGCTCTTCAGTACACCGTCACTGCTCCACGAGGCGCCACTCCACCTGCCAAGCGTGCCCAATGCTGAGGAAACGAGGGTTTTCAAAACTAACCGAAACTGCCCTAAAACATGATAAAATTTACCTAAAAGTTCCTTTCTGATATTTATAAAACAGAGAAGGGCAGCATAAATTCACACCATGAGATGGAAAAACAGTTAATCCAAGTTTCTTTAGCAGAAAATTAGGAAACAATCACAAAAAATGAGCCACTAAGCCCCCAAGTCCCTGGGGGATGAGGACGCCCGGCTGCCACTGCCCCGACTCTACGGGACACGACGTTTGCTGTTTAGGAAATTAAGTTTGATCTCTTCACAGGACCCACGGAAGAATGTGTGGAAGTGTAAAGATACAAAGATTTTATCCTGTGCCCGAGTTAATGGGCTTAAAAGCTGATCATTAAACGTGGCCACTGATGACAAAGGAAGCGGGCAGGCCTGCAGTGACACACCCGACCGATACCTGGGCGGCACAGGGCTCCAGGGCAGGGAGGCTCACACCAGCACATCCCACACGCTCCCCAGGCCCACCTGACACACCTGCCCGCCCTCCCCTGCCAGATGCCTGCAGCCGGATCAGCGGGAGGGCTGGAGCACAGGTCCCCTCGGAACCTGTCAAACTGGCCTGAAGTCTGCCGCCGGCGGGCGCGGCCCCAAAGGGCACTCACTGATCTGACGCCAGGACGGGCACAGGTAAAGGGGCGAGAGGCGCCTTTCTCAGCAGGACTCCCCGGCTGCCAGCGCCGGCTCCTGGGCTGAGGGAGGTCAGAAAGGCTCTGACCTTCCTGAGGACGAGTCTGACGCCTCGCCGCCCGCCTGCCCAAGGCTCGGTGCCTGGTGCGTGGCAGACCCACGAGGCGTGCCGAGGAAGCCCAGGACACCAACCCCGATGACATGAAAGGAGCCAAGTAGGACCCACCCTCACATGCCAGTTACTCTCGGCTACATGAGTTACGGCCGTTCTGGAGACCGACGTCATTCCTAAAGGCTGCAGGTGGGGGCCGTCCCCTAGGTCCTCCAGGCCCAACTCAGAACTTCAGTCCTGATGGCCACTGCCACACCCCCGAAGGCCCCCTACACAAGCCCCTGGGGACCCCACCCCATGCCCAGCTGCAGTTCCCATCTGCACAGACCACAGCCAAGCCCACGCCGGCCCACGTGCCACAGCTGCAGGGCCAGGACCCCCGGGTGCACGAGGAGCCGCGTGGGGTCAGCTCACTGGGCTCCATGTCTCCCCTGCTCCTGGTAACAAAGAGGTGAGCCTGGGGTAAAAGGTACCCCTGCTCCTCCCCCAGCACCTGTGGGAACTCCACACCCTGTGCTGTGACACACACAGGAGACGGGGCCCAGGGAGCTCATGGTGGCTGCGCAGGCCTTGGTGGACACCCCTGCAGCCTGTCCTCACCACCCTTTCTCCTCCTCTGCAAGACGCTGCTCCCTGAAGACCACCAGCCACAAGTCCCCGGGCAGCAGCACCATCAGCGTGGCCGCCGGGGACAGAGACAGGCAGAGGCGCAGCCGCACCTGTCCTCTGCCACCCTGGCCTCAGGTAAGCCACTCTCCACGAGGCGCCCACAACACAAGCACCCTGCGGCTGCGCCGCTCCCCTCCAGAGTGGACAAGACAGCAAGGGCAGATAGGTTTACAACTTCCTCAGGAAACGCTTTATCTCCCTGAGCAGGGGCAGGACCCTCATGCTCCGCAGGCTTCTCTCTGGTGCAAGAATCTGGATTGTGAAACACAGGCCACGTGCGGCACTTCCAGGGTCCCTCTCCTGACCCTGTTAAACACGTGGGAAGAAGAAACAGCAGCGAGAACACAATAAGGCTTCTGTCGCCAAGACCCTTCGGGGCCCACACTGGTCTGAGCCTGGGGTGCCGGGCAGCTGTCCTTACAGCGTCCCTCGTGCCAGAACCGGCAGCGCTCCCACCACGCACCCCGCGCTCTGCTGCCAGAGCTCATGGAACGCCTGAGGCGGCAGGGACCCGGCGGTAGGGCTGAGCCGGCCAAGGGCACCTGCCCTGTCCAGGCCAGGCAGGCGGCACGATGCCCAGATGGGGTCCTCTCTGGGGCTGGCTCAGACCTGGGTGTTCTCACGTTCCTCTTGGGCGTCTTATAAAGAACTTGGGGTGCCACCTTCTAAAGAGCCGTGGGAGGCAGCTGACAGGACAGGGGCACGGTTGTGAAATCCGTTTTCCTAGTTCATTTTCCTAGTAAAAGTTGTCAAGTAAAGTGCTGGCGTAAATCTCAGGGTGACTCAGCCGTGGCTCCCACCCCCGTGATGAGCACTGAGTCACCTCGCTGCGGACCCACCTCGGGCTCCTTAGCAAACAAGGAGAAGTGGAGCGCCTGGCCTTCTCCAGTCCAGAAGCAGAACACCGAACCAGTGTGCTACAGTTAACGCAAGAGCTCACTATGCTGCGGACACGCTTATTCTGCTTTTTCCTAAGCGAAAAACATCAGACCCTAAAAGTCGGCCTGGACGCCTCCATGTGGCTTGGCTGGGCACACGCATGCACCAAAACCCACGCAGCAGCCGCCCTGGATACGGAGCCCTGGCAGCCGCGGCTGGCACAGGGCTCAGGGGTTCTAGAGACCACATGGACCTGCCGGCCTCAGTACTTCCCTCAGGAAGCCAGAGGAAAGAGTGTGGTCCCACCTCAAAGAGCTGCTCTGAAGTATCTAGTTACACGTTTCGAAGGAGCTGAGCATAAAGTGCGTTAGCCAGTCTCATTCTGCAGAACGTCGAGTGCTGGTCGCAAACAGTAGAAAATTAAGGTCAGACAAAACCCAGCCCCTAGCAAAAACAAACACCACCAAAGGTTTCCTTTTCCAGCATATCCGCGTTCCAGAAACACTTTTAAGGAAAAGGCTACAGACACCCGAATTTCCAAAATTCACTAGTCGGGGCTTGACGCGCCAACACTAGGGTGCGCACGCCTGATCACGCACACGCCGCTTGCGCTCCTCCCACACCACCCGAGACCCCAGCCACCTTCACCTGCGGACTCGCTACCGCAGGCCACTTGCGTCTGCCCGGACTGCTCACCCACAGAAAAGGACTCCGCCCCGAGCTGGGCAGACCCCTCCTAGAAGCATCTCATGTGCCAGTGAACACCCCTTTCCTGCACACTAACGGGGGGGGGGGGCACCTCACACGGCCATCAGGCAGACACGCACCACGACCCTCAGGCTTTACCTCGAAATCGCCGTCACGAAGGGCGTCAGCTCCTGCGGCTCGTAGGCACGCGCGAAGGACCAGCACACGTAGCAGGCGGCGTCCCTGACGTTGGCGCCCACGCTGCAGGCGCCCCGCTTCTCCTCGTACGTCAGCGCCTTCAGGACCACAGGGACAGCTGAGCAGGAAATAAAGACTGTGAGAAGCGGCCACACGGGCAGGGCGCGCCGCTTCAAACGACCAGCATCTGTGTCAAGGCACAGCCTCGGCCCCAAACAGGGCATGTGAGAAGTGCGGAGTCAACCCAAAGTCACCATGAGACACGTGGCCTTGTCAGAAAATAAGGGAAAGTTCCTTCTGCACAGTACAGAACATGCGGCGAGCCGGCCGCGGACTCGGCCTGAGGAGGCTCAAGTGACACAGCCGCCGCGAGGGAGGGTGGCACTGCCGCGGGGCCACCAGCCCCGAGCCTTGTGGTCCTGGGGACGCAGAGACAGCAGCTGGGCCAGCTCCGAGCACAGGAGACCTGGGTCACAGGATGCCAGGCTCTGCTCTGAGGGGTCGGGGGGGCTATCCCGTGTGTGCCCTATTATCTCAAATACCCGTACAGTTAAGGTAACTCGAAGTACCTAACGGATTATCCTGCTGGGTCCATTTGAAAATGTGTGATTGAGTGATCTGAGATCACACGATTTCTGATGTAAGGACACGAGACAATTTTAAGGCACGTGGTGAGGATACGGGAATGTCTAAAGGAGCCAAAGCTTCATTCTCCTGTTTTCGTTTATTAGGCTCATGTATTTCAAGTACTTTGGAAGGGTTTGCTTATTAGAAATGTACATTACTTAAAAACAAAACAAGATATGTTACATTTACGCATTGGGTTTAAAATATCTAAGAGAATTTAATTTTATAAATGAACCAAATGTTAATTTTAAAAAGCCTCTTAAAAATGATCGAAGAAAATGTAGCAGAAAAAAGCTTAAGAAAATTTATGCTGCAATTCAAAGATAAAATATTCATTTTTTGTCACATTAAATGAAATTTTCTGAAATACCATGCTAAAAATTCCAATTTATTAATTCAAAATAGCTATGCTGTTATAAAATAGAGCATACTAAACAGCTCACACTCGTGTTTGAAAAATTATTAAAATTAAAAATGCATGAAATATCTATTCGTGAAGTAAGTGAAACAAGCGTCTCCCCACTCCTGGGCACGGCAGCCACCTGGCAGAACTGCTTCTACTGACCAACAGCCGACCCAACCCAGCCTCTGGGACGTGGACGGCCACAGAGACCGGCCCACGCCCCCGAGGCGGCCAGCGCAGGACCCAGAGCAAGCCCGGGGAGCGTGCCCTGCCACAGGTCACACACAGCAAGAGGTCTCCAGAACAAAGCTGGGCACAGCAGCTGCCCTCCCAGAGGCAGGCGCCCGCCGCAGAAACCATCGCAGGATTCGCACACATGCTGGTCTGGGTGATGGCACATGGACGTCTCCTGAGAAAAGTCGAAGTGGGGGATCGGCCACTGAGCAAAGAACACAGAACGCAGCTCGACAGGCAGTAGTGAGACGGATGGGCCGTGAGGGGCACAGCGCAGCCCAGGCCCGCGGGGAACCAGCTCCACTCCCGGCGCCGCACACGCGGCCCTCCAGCGCTCCGTCTGCAGCCCAACACCGACACCGCAGAGCCAGGAAGGACAGTCCAGGTGCAGGTACGTGAGGTGCCAATTGTGTGCACGCACCACTGTCGGCACACAAGTTACCTCCCAGAAAAGCGCACCTGGAAATCTCAGGCGAAAAATCACAAGAAACAACTGTAGGTCTAAAAATGCTATCTGCCAATTTCCCCTCCAACTTTTTGCATCTAAGGATTTCTTATTCCACATGTTAAAATATATAGCAAGAAAAAATGGACATGATTCTGTACAGTTTATTCATATACAGATGGGGATGATTTTTAACGATTATAAAATTTTTATTTATAAATTTACTTGAAACTACATAAAAAGAACTTTCTCCAAAATAAAGAGCGCAAAGATACTGTGGCATCCATCACGCAGGAGTGGGGACCTCCAGAAACAGCTGCCCACAGGCTCCTGGTCACGGGCACCTGCCCGCACAGAGGGCCCACCCGGGCCGCCCACGCCTGTCCTGGCCCCACCCCACTCTGCTGAGGACCACGAGCAAGGCCCGTGCCCGCCAAGTCTCGTTTCTTCGGGACACGGGGTGTGCCACGGCTCTGTCCCCCATGGCTGCTCTTGCCCTGGCCACATCATGCTTGCCCCATGCACGACAGCCACCTCCCTTCTCCGACTGCTCCCACCACCCCCAGCAAGCCCCACTCCCTGCCCCCACCTGCAAAGCACGTCCCAGGGCCTCCCCCGCCGCCGCAGGCCCTGCGCTCCCCAAGTTTCCGTTCCACGAGAGGTCGGAGCTGGCAGCACCAGGTGACCTTCGCAGACAAGAGGCCTTGACACCAACTTCTGTCGGCCTCCATCCGTCAGCAAACCAGAAACTACGCCCACAGTTTGAAAGAACGTCTACCATTCCTTGAAAATGTCTAATGTTTGCCCTTCAAAAACAAAGCTCACAGTCAGGCTCACAGCGCACGTATAAAATAATCAAATGGGACACCACTGCGCCCACTGCAAAGTCACTGAATCTCGTAAGTGAATTTAAAATGATCATCTCAACTTGAACGAAACCAACCCTGTAACCCTTACAAGGTCCTCAGTGGTTTCCCCTGGAAAAATCCCAGCTTGCTGGACTTACTCTTGGATTTCCAGCACTGTTCACATTCGCCTTCTGTGCGAAGAGGGGAGCCCCTGCATGGCCACGGGTGTCAGACTAACAGGCTGTGGCACCTTTCGGAGAAGAGCATCGTTTAAATGCAGCATCACTGCCAGGCAGGTTCCCTCAGAGGCCACCTGAGCACCCTGCCCAGACGGTCCTGGGGAGACCACTTGGCAGTTCTACCGCCTCAGGGAATCTGGACGCTGACTGCCGAGTCCCAATTTATCAGGCCACTGGACAAAATCAATTTCCAGTCAGTCAGTCGTGAGAGACAGCAACAGTCAGCACTGTCAGCGTCCACTTCAGCCTCTTCTGCTCCTGGAAGCGGCTGGGCGCTGCCCGGAGAAGCCACCGAGGTGAGGACACAGACCTCCCTGCCCGCCAGGGCCTGACCTGGTCAGAGGGCCCGGTTTCTGTTCCCACGTCAAACAGAGAGGGTTCTCTAAAGGGCCACTGTCCTTGGCCAGTGGGGTGAGCCAGCCACGGGAGACACACACGTCACTGACTCGCGCCCACCAACAGGCACCTGCCTCGACACACCGCAGGCTTTCTCCTGGTTTGACTGGCAGTTCTTGTGGGGAAAGCACATGGCCTAGCAGGCCACCCAGAGGCCGACCTGGCCCCCTTCTCTGCCTCAAGGAAAAAGGGCCGGTTCATGAGAGGGCTGCAGGCTGTGCCCTAGGGTAGCCACCTGGCCTTCAGATGTCACACAAGGGAGCTTCTCCATGTCCTGCTGTGTCCCGCCACAGGCCTAAGCCAGAGAAGCAGAGGGCAGAGCCCACCTGGGCCTCAGGCGCCCCACAGTGCTGCTGCGGTTGTCCCGCAGAGCCCCCGCCAGCCTCTTTCCACGTGGGTCCACGGCAGAGTCTCCGAGTCTCTGTCCTGCCATTCTCCGTGGGGAGGCCCCGACCACCCTCGGCAACACCTGCAACCATGTCAGTGGCCACGACCCAAGTGCAGGTGAAGAGGCAGCTGCTGGCAACGCCTCGCTGCTGCCAGAGCCTGTGATGCTCTCCTCAAAAAAGGAAAGGATATTGATTTGCAAAAAGTAAAAGCTCAGGAGGAGAGGGAGTGAGACGACAGCTTTCCTTAGCAAGAATATGGAAAACCAGCCTGTGGGCTCTGATTCATCCCGACACAACCGGGGGCGGGAGGACCGGTCAGGCCCGCACCTGCTGCTTCTGAGCAGGGCACTTGGCACTCCCGACCCTCTCCAGCCCCTTCTGTGTAGACGGGAAGTCCTGGGCTTCCAGCTGACACCCAGGGACCCAGACCAAGGGACAGACCAGCCTCAGTGGCCACGCCAGGTACTCGAGCAATCAAAAAGCTGGGGGGGGGGGGGGCGGAGCATGGGCATCTGGAATAGAAACTCCTCTTTGCCCTAAACTTTAAAAGTCATTATCAGAGAAAAAAAAATTTAAAAACAACTTTTTCCAGATTCAACAGGTTCAAAATAAGGAAACTATTCAATAGCTTTGAACAAAACCCTTTCTCAGGGTTTCAGTTACACTGCAAATGCATGTCAAATATATAACATACCCCTGAGGGCTTCCTTTTGGCAAAGCAGAATCCAGCAAGGTAATTTAAATACCCTTCCCTCTAGACAGCATGTCATTTGTCTCATGCCAACTGCCTCAGGAAAACCAGCCTCCAGGTGAGAGAAAGGACTTAACCCTCCAAGTGCCGAGTTCCCCACCGTGGGGTCCACAGATTGCACAGCCCCAGGGCAGAGAGGGGGCCGGGCATTCTCCGCAGAGGCAGAAATCGCTGTAAAGCACATATTGGATAACTAATGAGACTGACTAATTTTAAAAACAAACGTCAGTTCTAGGCATAAACTGGACTGTGCTGGAACTTCCGCAGGTGTCGCCAAGCACACCTTGTCAGACCTTCTCTATTGGACAGGCAGCTAGAGAAGGGGCAGAGCTGAGGGGCACACGGTGGATGGCCAGCGGAAAGACATCGCTCCCAGAGGAAAGTGGAGACCTGAGCTGCTCTGTTCCAGCCTGGGGAGGCTTCCGTGGGCAGGGCATCTCCTGGCCCCACGCAGAGTCAGAGGTGGTGAGGAGCCTGGGCCAGGAAAGCTCCGGCTTCCCAGGAGCGGGTGTGGCCACCACTGCAGAGCTTCCACCTCAGCCACCAGCACAAACAGCCACCATACCTTTCTCAAAAATGCAGTCCGACTTGCTCAGAAAAATGCCGACGCTGAGCTGGCTGGGGGCAGGAAGAAATGACGGACAGAGGATCCGCTTCCACAGACAGCTGGGTTTTCAGTTCCCACAGGACATTTCAGAAAAACCATCTCCAAGGCCCTGGGGTCTCGGCACCCGTGACCGCACAGGGAACACCGACAGCCATGCAGCCTGCCCTGGGAGGGCGAGG